ATTAGCTGATCGAATGTTGACTTGCAGGAGACAAAGCTATACTGGTGGTCGGTAATTAATTTTTCGGTCGGTAATTAATCCCTGCCTATTGAGGAAGCTGGTGAGGTGCTCGGCGATGATGGCGTCCAGAATATTGGCTACGGCCGGCAGCAGGGAGATTGTATTGTATATTTTTTATTTGAATTCGCAAGTACACATGGGCTACAAGCTCAATTACATGGAAGCGAATGTGATATTTAATGGGGTGTAGGAAGGAGGAGGAATGTTGCAAAGTAACAAGGAGGACACTTCAGGAGCAAAATTAACAAATGCGCATACGAACATACGAAACCATAAAAATTCAACTGGATGAAGAATGTGAAGAAGAGGTTGGTGCTACCTGGGCGATAATTGGGGAATTGTGTGTTGCTCCATACGTGGGAGCTTGCGCTATTCCTGCCGACTTGAATTCTCACTTGACTAACTCACGACTACCATGCAGAGCGCACGAGAAGTCCATCGAACCGCCCACTTGGCAAACCTGCAAGAAAGCACCACTCCCTGCTCAAAAAACAGTGTTTTTGGGAATTCATCCCTCATTATTTTCCTAGTGGACGGTTCGATGGATTTCTCGTGTCTCTGGACTGGATGGCAGTCGTGAGTCAGTCAAGTGAGGATGCCGAAGTCGCACCAACCTCTTCTTCACAGAGTTGTCCCCGGCGCGGGCATGCGAATTAGATGGTTTGGAGGCAACAACGTTGTGAATGGCAAACGGTCCTCAGCGTCTGTTCAGCACCTCCACGAGCGACACTGACTCACGCTGCTATCTGGTGTTCACGAGATGTTTTTCGCGCTGGAAACGGAGCGTCTCTGTAAGTTTGTATCCCTGGTGATGTCTTTGCCTAGAGAGCACTATATAAGTGGTGCTCTTCAGGCACAATCTTCCTCAGCCTACTCAAGCTCAACTGATGAGGGGTGAATTCCCCGAAACACTGTGTATTGAGCAGGAAGTGGTGCTTTCTTGCAGGTTTGCCGAGTGGACGGTTCGATGGACTTCTCGTGTGCTCTGGATGGCAGCCGTGAGTCAGTCATGTGACAATTGAAGTCGGTTGGTTGAAGAATGGCACAAGCAAACATTTCCCGACAACGAGAGGGACTGTAACGACAGCCACGGCAGCAGCACCAGCAGCAGCAGCAACAACAACAACATCATCATACAGAGATAGGCCTGTAGGCTGTAGTTAGCTGGCCACACATGTTTGCCGTTCTCTTTGTAGATAGGTAAGACTGTAGCCAACTTCCAGTCACTAGGTAGCTGCCCGAGCCGGAAACTAGTGTTGGCACAGGGACTGCATGATCATGGGTGCCACTTCTCTCAGTATGCCGTTCGTGATATGCATACCCCCGCCCACAGACTTGTGCTTGAGCAGAGTGCGCAGCTTGCAGAAGACTCCCGTGCTGGGTTGTTTGGAAATTGAAACTGGAGATCTGGGGTAAATTTAGCTGGCTTATAACAATGTAATGTTCTCATACTTTCTGCCTTTCTTGTCATTCTTGCTTCTTCAATTTGTTTTCCTCTAGTTTTCTTGTGTTCGCGGAGAGGACGGAGAGCCGGAGCGCAGAACCGTTTTGTTTAAATATGATTTAACGGAGAAGGCGGAGATACCGAACGTGCCGTAATGCGGTCAAGCACAATATTTGTTTGGGTAGCTCAGGGGGAACGCCAAATATATGGGTACATGTGACTGTTTTTTTCTTTCTTTTGTTCTTTTTTTGGTGTTTATTGGAATTCGGATACATGTAGCTCAACATGAAACAGTACAGAAGTACAACTACAAAGAGCGGCGAATAGAAGGCCCCGGGAACGGGAAACCAAAAAGAAAAAAGAAAAAAAGAAAAAGAAAACAGCAACATCAATTTACTGATTATGATTCTCCATGGCAGCATGAATCCCAGCACCATTGCTGTTTTGTGGCACGGGTGGTCGAGTCAAGGCTTCGGCTTTTCTCAAGCGCATTGCATCTTTGCTTCCCAAAACCGTTCTCCGTGGCAAGGGCTCATCCCCTGTTACATGGTATTCTTGTCGCAGTATTAGTTAGTTAGTTTTTTGTTTGTTTGTTATATTATGATAACTGTCCACCAACGTAACCAGATCTTTATACAGTCAGCGAGTGCGACAAAATGGCACAAAACTGACAAGGCCGGGAGTACGAGGTGATTATGCATTTTTAAGCATGATTGTAAAATCGTACAATATCGGGGTGTCAGTGCGCATGTGTATACATTTGTTGGCCTCACTCAGAAGATGATCCCTTTCTTTCTATCTTCACCAAGTTTCAACTGAATATGACTATCATAACGCCCCAAGGAATGGATTACATTTGGGTTGATATGATGCTATGAATATGAACGTTTTAGATTCTAAGCATTGTGTAAAATGACTATGTTTAGTGTTATTTCATCGCATTCTTCCATTCTACACACATACATGTACATGCTAAAACAGGGACAAGTACTAATGCCAAAACGTGAAACCAAAGTCTTCCGCAAGCAATTAGAGCCCTAAAGAAGTGGCTTCCCAGCATCCACTGAAACCAAAAAGTTTTAAAGAACCACAACATGTGCATTACAATTGAAATAGAGCATGGCCCGGGTCTGGCAACACCATAGAAGCATGATTACTTGAAGATCATAGTAGCGTGTGGACTATGAACAGAACAATGAACCGGAATAAATAAGAAAGAAGAAGAAATTGTCCGAAGGACCGCCAGGAGAACGTGTCCAAACCTGCGCCACACATGGTCATCAGCTCAACTGGATCCACTGGATGATGGTGGGTTTCCTCTTGGTGTCGGCCGAGCAGCATATCCAGTTGGTAGCCTGGGTCCGCTGTAATTGCTGGGCCGTGGGAGTCTAGGCTGCATCAGGAAGGCTGGTCGAGGTGAAACAGCCACCGTTGCCCTGGGTAGTGGAGTTGAAACACTCCTAGGCCAGAAGGATGTACCAGGGGATGCTGGTGGCGACATGGTGGCCGCCGGGGACGGGAGACTGCTGATGGTCGTGGTTGTTCCTCATATTCTCTCAACTTCAGGTGAAGTGTCGTGTCAGACACTTTGATGTTCATCAAGGCTAACAGCTCAGATGCTCTGCGCCCATCCTTCCGCAGATTGCCAGTGTGCATTGACTCCACGGCCCATTTCACGCCCTCACGAATCAGTCACGATACATGCCCACCAATCCATGTGTCCCATACTTGACATTGTCACCAGGACGTCACGATACATGCCCACCAATCCATGTGTCCCATACTTGACATTGTCACCAGGACGTGTGCATTTGGCTTTGATGGCAGCCTCCACTGTTGCCATGTCAAACTCTATGCCACCAGGTGCAGATGGTGTGGTCACTGAACCATTGTCGTGAACATCTGGCAGAGGTGGAGGAGGAAGGTGCCCACTCTTGATGTTTGACAACACGCCAGACACCTCCAGTTTCTTCTCTATAATATTATGTCGGATCATCTGCCGACTCACGTCAAATGAATTTGCCGCAGCGGCCTTCGAACGAAATGCACTGCTCGTTACAGGAGAATAGAATGCTCTGACAGCGAGCGTTGCTCGCTTGCTAGCTGAATCTGTGCTGGGTTCATCCGGCTCAATATTTGATGCCATATCTGTATCAGAAGTCGTTTTATGGCTTTCTTCTCCATTAGCAGATCCAGTGCTGTCGCTACTACTGCTATTACATGAACTTTCTGGGCCTGGTTCGGCAGGCTCCTCACAAACGGGATCCATAAAAGGGCGATTTTACATTATTTCTGCTACTGAAGCGATCGCGAAGAGCAACAAACTGCTCTAAAATAAAGACAAACCTAGTCTTCTTGAACAAAACACATGCTGGGAAAGGAAGATGAAGACCGAGGGAAGTCTCTCACAGTACTATATTTGGAATATTGTACCGCATGCATTGGATATGTACGAGACGGTTTGCTGATTTTACGCATTTGCTTAGAAACGAAAAATGCTTAGAAATGCATAATCACCTCGTACTGAGACATTCAGCGACCTGACACCTGGGTCCAACACTTCTCCAAGGCGCAAACCAACAACCTTCCAACTTGGAAAGCTCAGGTTCGGAAAGGTCCCCTGTGTAGGCTTTCCCCAAACCGGCCCGTTTTTTCCGCTTGTTCGGCTTTTCGTTCGGGTCAAAAATACATCAGATTCGACTGCAAAATCAGTTGATTGTTTGACAATCGGCTGCAAAACTGGAATATATTGGAAAATCGGCTAAAAGAACTGTTGGCATGTTGGCCTCAAAATTTGTTAAATTATTATTAGAAGAGTTGGTCGATTTTCGGCGATTGTCAAAGGAACCCTCCAAAATCGGCGAAAAGTGTAGCGATTTTTCGATCAGTCTCATTTTCGGTGAATTTTTCGCAGCCTGATTAATTTAAAAGGGATTGTACTACAGTCCATTCATCGGAAACAGTCCCGCTGGCTTTTGCAAGTCCAATTTGGGCCGAATTGAGGATCAAAAACCCACTTTAAATCTCCAAAACCTGGGTTTGGGATCTGCTTCTCCACACATTTTGCATTGGTATACCTGTCCTAATTTTGTAAAACCTGGCTCAACCAAGACCCTATCAGTATCAGCAAGAGTTGGTATCAGGGACTATGCAGGGCTGGAACAGGCGTTGCACACTCTGGGGGGGGGGGGGCTATGTACTTTTGCTAAGCTTTGTTACAAACAGCAATCTGTGTCGTATTTAGCGCGTGCGACACCTTCGAGTACTAATTTGTTGACCCCGCCAATCAAAGTGAATGGCATGTAGGCTGGTACGCGCCTGATGCGCGCTGCAAATTCCAACATAATGGAATTTCCATTTGGGCGCGTTTCCGTACGCATGGAGCACCAAAAGCCAGCAAAATACGCACAAACGCATGGTTTCACGCGTACACGCACCAGTTGTGACCACACAAAGTCCGAAGATTGAGAACTTTTCCTCAACTTAGAAACAAGAGTTAGAAATGAAAAAAGAAAAAAAATGGAGCCAAATGACTTGAGCCCAAACTGCCAGATTTTCAGTCAAAGAACTTGGGGAACACATTAAAAGACTAAGTAACAACTGAGAACATCTGTTTATAAATAAGTAATGTAGACGACTTATGTATATGTGCTAGTACAATACACAACAACAAAACTAAACCAGTTAAGGTATGCTATGTCGAGATAAACCCTCATCATCTTGCAAATAATAGATGCATAATTACTAATTAAAATACGACATAATTACTCAGCCGTAGCGGGTTATGGGATATCGGTCTGCCTCAGATTTCCACTGATCTGAAATAGCAGATTTGAAATTTACAATGGGAGGAAATTATCAGGACTGGAAACACACTTGGTTAGCAGGGGCTCTTCACGTCCTGGAAACGTTCTGTTGGAGTTACACTGCATGTGCCTGTCGAGTTTCCTGGACCGAATTGTGGATGCTATGGAAGATGGGTGGGTAAGTGGAAGGGCACCAGGTCAGTCCTGTCGGCAGTATTCCCCCAAGTTTATGAGTAACTAGTTACAATTACTGACACTTCATGCACTGCACTGTTCATCACCGTCACTCTATTAGACGACTTCGGTTGGAGTAGTTGTGGCTGGGTCGCTTGTTGGTTTGGTTATTGAGTAACTGGTCGTGGGTGTAGCAGCCTGGGTAGTGTTCGCGGACTCGTTGCTCCCTGTTGCGGAGAAACAGAGAGGACACACACAAGCATCTCAGCAAAGCAGACAACAGCATACCATCTCCTCTTCGCAAAATCTGATTTCAAAAATTACTATGGAAACCCACCAACATTTTGACTTTAGATCTTCACTTTTTTGTTCCATATTGCTCTCCTGAACTCATAGTGCTCAGGGTGATATTTGAGAGGGGAACACTTAGGGCCCGGTCCCACGTGCACTTGGGTTCGCTTCGGCGTGGAGGTTTTGCGACAGCGAGCCTGGTGTCGCTCCAGCGACACCACGTGTGTATGGTCACGCATACAAACAAGGCAAACTCCTACTTCGGCGGAAAATGAGAATAAAGTGGACTGTGGTGCATACGGTACGGAGAAAAGACGAGGTCAATGACCATCTTGCACGCATTTTTGTTGCATTTGGCATCATACGCATACAAATTTCTTGTAGTAAGTCCTTATACTGCAGACCGTGGTGCTTTCCGCTGAAGCGAAACCGCAGAAGCGACAGTCTTGGTTCGAAAATTTTGGAGGAAGCGGATTGGAGTTTCCACCGAGGCGGAAGTTCTGCTTTTCGCCGTTGCCATGGTATTGTTCGCTCCTGCGACGTCGCTTCAGCGGATCCACTACTTCCGAGTGCATGTGTGCCCTAACAAGTTACGATACAGATGGCACCGAAAATTAGTAATTTCCTCAACTCTGAGGTCACCGGTGCTCCTGCCTATGCAGTCAGCTCAAAACCCGGAAGGTTGTCCCGAGCTCAGTCCGCTTGCTATCAAGAGTTGATAAATAAGCGTGTGCAACTCGCGGATGGGTAGGCCCATTGCAGATTTTTTTGTTGACGTAATCTTTTCGACAACGCTCGCGCTGCGAGTCCTTCGGAATGTTTTCCTCGTGCTCTTGGCCGGACTTACACTACAAGGCCAGTGCCCAGCACGTGCCCCAGACTAGGTATAGCCCGATTTTGCTAGCAATAATTATTATGCTAGCAAAATATCGAAGAATTCTGAAAGGGAGCTTGCTAGCAAAACGGAGCAAAATATCAGTGTGTCCGCTGGAAATTTGGAGATTATACACTTACACGGTGCACGTGACTCAATTTCGCACAGTTTCAGCAATACGTGACTCGCTTTTTCTCATTTTTGCCAACACTTGACCCACTTTCGGTCACTTTTCCCACATGTGACACAATTTTTTTTTGGGGGCAAAAAGGGAGCAAAATATCGAGTGGCCTGGCAAAATGAAAGCAAAATTTTTAATATTAACGATGAGAAAGCAAAATTTTGCGGCAAAATATCGAAGCTTTACTGGCAAAAGCGGGCTTTGCCTACTCTGCACTGCTCTGCGGCAAAATGGGCGTTTCTCTGAAAAAAGGTGACGCCCACAAAAATTCTGCCGTGGGCGGGGGTATTTGCAGATTGTGCAGGAGACATCCGGAGTTGCGCACTCTTGTTTATCTACTCTTGCTAGTAACTAGTAGCTATCACCATTTCTCTGGGTATTAAAGGTATGTCTTTGCCACCTTATCATTATTACTCAAAAAACTCTTTTCAGGAGCTGTACTGAGGCTTTTAATCTCTCGTGAAATTGCAAAATCTGGGTTTGCGTTAGGGCTGAAAACCCCTGAATATTCGAACCTCTGTTCTTCTGCCTTCCCAGCAATGTGAAGAAAATTCAAACTGGGAAACGTGATCCAATCCGCACACAACTTCCGGTCCTTCTGCGCTCGCACTGCACATGAACCATCCTGACAAACAGTCCTACAGCGCGGTACCACAGGACGTGCTACGAAGTTGTTTTGCGAATTCCGTGTATCCACACGTAACCATATCCAAAGCTCAGTGGTTAGTATACCTGGCAACCATACCGCTTTTGGCCGGGCCTGTTCCAATTGCGAGGACAGTAATAGCGCGAAAGAGCGAACCACAGATACGACCATTTTTTTTACAAATTGCGTGTGAGGCGAGCACGTCTGTGAACAGCATGCCCAAGAAAGGGGACGTTCCCTGTAGGTCATAGTTGCATGGCTCGTGCAAAGTAGAGGTCAGAATAGCTTGAGCCTCAGGAATCTGAGGACTTTGAATGACCATTCTACGTTGAGTACGTGCGCCGATGAAAATTTTGGTTGGAGGATACAGAGTTTTGCTCGCACGCAGTAAGGCAGCTCTCAAAAAGGCATGACGGCTATTTTGTTGCTTGTACATTGCATGTAGCAGCAATAGCTTGAGAGCCAAGATCTGTAGCACATCGCATCCAAATGCCAACTGGGGGCGCATTTGGTTGGTACGAGCTAGAACAGGATCCACCAGAACAGCGCGTTTGGTTGGCACTGCACCTGTTCTGGGTCGGCCAGAACATGTTCTGCTTGCTCCGGCCTCGAGGCCGGAGCAAACCGAGCAGTTTCACTTTTTCACTGTGAAACCTGGCGGGAACATCGATTTTGGTCCCAAATGATCACGTGCACACACTTTGGAGTTGGACTCTTCGTACTGTACACAGTCACCATGGTGACACATACACATTTTGAAGTATGTACTAAGTTTGGCATCTTTTTTTCACAAAAATGTGCTCTGTTTCTGGAGTACCGTGTATTTGGCATGGGGCTGCGCCATGTGCACCAGCTGTTCGATCCTGTTCTAGATCGTACCAACCAAACGCACCGTGGACGTACAGAAACTAAAAATGAATTTAAAATGCACACTATGAGGGTAACTTAGTAAAGATGATTCGGAGACCTTTGGTTGGAGGAGTTACTTTTGCCCCGCCCCCACTTCCATCCAATATGTCACCGCCCCCGCTGTGCAGCATCTGATGGTTCTGTGGTATTCAGTGAAAACAAAAACAAAAAAACTTACCAGGTGTGGGTTGGTAAAGGCAGGTTGTTACATTTGTACAGACACCGACTCCACCACACTCTTTGCCGCTGTCAGCATCGACCGAACACTGACTGGTGACTCGAGACTGGTCCACGCAGCGTTGCTTGTGGCACACAAGGTCCTTGTTAGCGCCGCTGGCATCACAGCGTGTTCCGTCCTTCACGAGCGATGGGTCATCATGGTTTCTTGGCGGAGACGCGTACAAACCATTGCACCTGAGTACACCGCCAACACCGCGTACGGGAATAGTTTGGGACAGAACATCACTACTGGGTTGGTTCTTTCGAGCAACTGGAAGGCAGAACAAACTACCACATAGGGCATCTCCAGCCGCACAGGCTGCATAGGTTCCTGGGGTGGAATTGGACGATTTGAAACCACAGTTACCCGTACGTTCTCCAAATACGTTCATGATCGCGAAGCAATCCTCAGGAGTCCGCTCCAATTTCCTGGCCGTCATCAGGCTGCGCTTCTACCAGTGGCACCTCAGGAGGTCCTTCAGGTTCCTTAGAGTATGGTCGCAGATGTGAAGCTTGGGATTGTTGACCAAACATCGTTCTTCATCACCAGAAAATTCAAACAACTAAGATCTTCAAATGCAGAGAATTTGAATACTAATCACACGTGACGTCATCAAAACCATCAAAAGAGGAGACAAACTTGGCCCTCCGTAGCTTCATATATCGACTTTTTGGGCCTAGTTTTCGCGATTCCCCATTCCTTGGGGCCATACAAGGCACCCATGAAGAGAACACACCACCGAAAATATTCCCGGAGTGCCCCTTTAATTTCTTCACTCCACTCGGCCAGTGGAGTAGAAAATTTGCATTTCCCTGACATAAATCTACTCAGCTTACATCATCGACAAACCATTCACGGCGGCTGCAAGCAAGGTCAAACCATTATATCAAGAATCCATAATCCTCCAGAGAGCGCAACTTCACTGATCAGATCTGGGACGAAATCCGTGTTGAACGTCATAGTGTGACATCATGAGTAGGGAAAGTGTGAACCGTGGTTGACCGCGTCGACGCAATGACGCAAGTCCGACCCAAACATGACGTAAATCACGGATTACGCCGTCCCACAACCCCATCCTAGTTGCGTACTCTGCGGAATTATGGACTCTTGATGATATCAATGAGACAGGGACACTCCACTCCTCAAAATCCGCTGGGATCAAGTCCCGCTTATGTTTCCCGGGTGACACAAAATGGGCATTTTGCAACAAGCCAGGAGACCAGAAATTGCTGGGGCCGATGACCGCCATTCATGCATGCAAGTTGGCTCAACTAGTCCAACCGACGACAGGCAAATCACCTACTACAATGTACCATACTTTCCAGAGTAATCGCCGTACCTGAGCATTATCCGTGCCCAGATTATACCCATCCACCCTTTACATCGTGTTGTATTTAACCACTGGAGTGTGCACAGACCTTTTATTTTTTGGGGGGTGTAAATTAGGGGTGTTTAAAATGCGGACTGTAATCCGAACACATGGCATTACTTTCACTGGACATAGATTTACAAAGCGAAAGAAATGTAACTGCAACATGCAGTACGCACGCCGAAGGAATGCAGCGTATTCGCTTCATTAAGTAGACACTTACGAGTCTGGCACCGGTCACCAGTCCATCCTTCAGCGCAGGTGCAGGTGCCGTCTTCATTACAGCGACCCTGGTTCAGACATGTTCTGCACTCTGCAGCAGTTATTGTGTGCAGTGCATGACGTACATATTGTTTCAGTGCACAACAAAAATAGCAACAGAACAGCACAGCATGGTTAGTACATGATTCATGATCATCATCGGGTGCGACACGTCAAAGCAGTTTTTTTAAACATCCAGATTACACAACACCCCAGGTGCACTGGGGGAGATCCACCACATTCAAACGGAATGATAATAGTAGTAGTGGGTCTGGATCTGGATCAGAGTATGAAGAAACGATCACAACCTCAGCCTTATATGCAATGAGTGAAAATAACTGTTTGCATTGACAAAAATGAATATCTTGCTACCTACCGAGTTGGCAATGTTCTCCGTAGAATCTTGTCGGGCAGATGCATTTACCCTCGTTGTCACACTGACCCTGGTTCAAGCACTTGCAGTCGTCTGTAGAGATACGATATGTTCATGCATGCGCAACAAGAGCAGGGAATGGCAAGGAAAAGCATTACGGCATACTATGCAATGAGAAGCATGAAGGGAGCAATTGAACCACAAACAAGTTACCAGTGGTTGAGCCAGACTGTCCAAGCACCAGATTTCCCAGAGTATAAAAGCCACACATCACAAGTTCAACCCAAAAAAATTAGTGGTGAGGCCTATTCTGCGATGGTCAAATTAATTAACGACGATAGATATGGTAGTAAAAGTGGGGAGGCTTCCTGCATTTTCATAAACAGTTGAGAGTAGAACCCACACGCTCTCTTCCATTAACACTGCAATAGTTCAACTCATTTCACAACAATTATTCCGCTTCGGCAAATTGCCTTCATCAGGTTCACAATGATGTGCAAGCTTCCAAACTATAGGGTAGGTAGCTGCATTTCGTGGCAAAAATCTGGGTGTGGAAATACGGTCGTGATATCAGCACCTGGTTATGTACAGTATTTTCCAGAGTAAAATCCACACTCGAGTATAAAGGCCGATTCACAATACAACTTCTAGCAACGCGACATGCGACTTGTGACACCTGCGACGAGCTGCGACAAGCCGTGACAGCGACACACAGTTCACAATCTTTTTTTCATGTATGCGAAATCCTTATGCACTAGTGTGCAGAGGCCACTCGTCAAGATGGCGGCAAATCCGAGAGTACAAAAATTTCGACTCTGGCTATGTGCGCGGCGGATGCGAATCTCGCACGTGCATGCAAAATCTAGCCTACTACAGATCTGGGTAGAGCAAGTGTGTTGGAACGACGACCTTTTCCGAGAGAGAATGTGGCTCTTTTTATCCCAACATTTTACTGGCCACGCTCTCCCTCCCAGCTTATTGATACGAGTATCTGCTACCGAGTAGAAGTCTCCATCTTCACAGCAGGCCAGGCAAAAGCGAAACATTGAAATACTTTGCTCACTTGGTTTTTTGGTTCTTTGAGGTGTTGATGTGGTTGTTGTGTACAACTCAAAGTGACAAACTTGAGACCCCCGCGCCACAAAGTTTCGTTTGGCTGTTCAATGAAAGGACATATGGAACCAGGGATAAAAACTATTGTGGCTGCCAACAAAACTCCTAGTAATGTAATAAACGGGGGTGTGACATTGGTAATTCCAAGGAGAATGTACGCACGGCCATTCCACAACGTAGACGAAACTACGAGCTCAAAAACACTCCGATTTTCAAACAAACGACGCAGGAAAGAAGACATGGCCGCAGCGTTCCCGTGTAGCCTTCAAAATGCCTAATTTTACTTCGATAGCGGCTGGTTCTGGGCAAATTCAGGCCCAATTCGACCGCGTCGTACCGCTCAGATTCGCCCAAAACAAGAGGAAATGTACGGTAGATCCGAATGCATACGCATTTTGCTTACGGGGACGACTGGCCAGATTTCATGCACTGCAAACACCCGTGTAGTAGTACTATGCACGTGCACTGCATGAGCACCCAGGGTAGAAACTGTACTCTATTTGTGCATGTCGAACGTCACATGTCGCAAAAGTTGAACTTTCTTCAACTTCTGCGACAGGTACCTTGCGACTGTACGCGACAGCTCGGGACAGACAGTTTCTAGTCGCAACTGTCGCGAGTCGCGTCGCAGAAAGTGGTGCTGTGAATCGGCTTTAATTAAGCTGCACTTGAGTATAAGCCACACGCGGATTTTGTTGGTACTGAAATATAGACATCAGTATACCCCGTTCACCAGCGGGTTATTTCCATTGTAGTACATGTATAATCAACACAGACTTAGACAGTTTTATCCTGCAGTCTTACCCTTTTCACAGTATTCTCCATAGAAGACAGTGCGGTTGCACTTGCAACTCAGGTCCTGGGCCAGAACGCCATTAGCACAGTGCTCTGCGCAAAAAAAGACAACACAAAAGGCTCCATTGCACTCGCTCACAGTTCGCTACACTTGAATGTTCGCAGCATCACAACACACTCAATTGAGTGGAAAGCCCGGTTAAAAAATTATATCAGGGCATGTCGGACTGTGGGAGTTGATTTGAATGGTCCATATCAGTGGAAGCTGCAGGTCCATCGCTAATCGGATATTCTTTATCCAACGTCAGCACCCAGTCAGCTCGGCAAGCGTTCGGCAAGGACACTAAAATTAATATGTTGCCACTTCTTCCACAACCGAATGTAAAGCAGTTTGTACAGTGGTCCATGCTTCATGTGCGTGACGAGTTATCTTGTCATTGTCGATTTTAAAAGCTAACTCATTTGCTGCTAAGATAGCGCTGTAGGTGATGCCAATGTATATGATAATCTCGGTAAGGCTCTGAGCCCCACAGTATCACATAATTCTACGTCTGCAGGGTGAATACCACAGAATTGTTTTCTCCCAGAAACAAAAACATAACCTAAATCTCCTTTCATGAAGTAGTGCCAAAGTTTGAATATATTGCTGGGACAGTCAGACCTCGCTTATCCGGTCCTCTTTTATCCGGATCCCTTGCCATCTGGAAGAAAATCGTTGGTTACCGATTTACAGCATATGCAGTGCATACATACAGTAGGTGTGTTCGATTATCCGGTTCCCTCGCCTTGTTTGCAACTATTCTACGCACATACGAAAGTCTACATGCCTCCGGACAAGCAAGACAAAAACAGGCTTCGAGGATAACCAGTTTTGAAACTGTCTTAGGGCATGTTCGTTTGGTAGGATCGGGATCCCGATCCACCGGATCCACTGGATTCGCACCCTTTCGATTTGTCGAATCCGGATCCGGATCCTTTGGATTTGGATCCGGTCAACCCACCTCGGGGAGCAGGGTTGACCGGATCCAACGGATCCTTTTTTTGCCAATCAACCTTTCTTGGCGCGACAACTGCACATTTGGCGGGACCCAACCCGCGGGAATAGCTTTCCTCATGCCTTGCACAGCATAAGTTTGGTTGTTTCATTCCTTTGTTATTTTTTGGTTTACCGTTTCAACCATTGCGTATCCTTTGCTGGCAAACAGCCCGGAGTGGCAGCGAAATTCAACATATGGAGATGCGGAACCCGTTGGATCCATGTAGCTCTTTTCCCTCGGGCCACCAACAGTCGACGGAGAAGGTTTCTTCCATTTGTGCCTCGTTCCAATTCAACTCGCTCCAATTTTGGCTGGTATTGCGGCTTCTACCACTGCGGCTCATTATGCGGCAACTACCCCATGTTTGAAGCGGAATTCAACACATATGGACATGGAGATACGGAACCCGTGGGATCGGGAGCCCTTTTCACTCGGGCCATCAACACGTGGAGGTTTCACATTATTCCGTTTATGCTTCGTTCCGATTCAACTCACTCCAATTTTGGCTGTTCGTGCTTCTACAACTGCGGCTCATTGGGCGGAAAATAGTCCACATGTACAACGAAACTCAACATATGGAGATACGGAACCTGTGAGCGCCCTTTTCACTTGGGCCATCAACACGTGGAGCTTTCACTTTCTTCCATTTGTGCTTCCTTCCAATTCAACTCACTCCAATGTTTGCTGTTTCTGCTTCTACAACTGCGGCTCATTGGGCGGCAAATTGCCCAGATTGGCACCGAAATTGCAAACATATCCGGACCAGAACCGGAGAGATGATCCTAGTATGGCGAGAATGACATGAGGGACAACTTTTCCTCGCATATAAAAAGCATTCAGCACGAGTAGTATTCACTATCTCCCTCATCTTTCTCGTTCCTGACAATGGCAGCTGAAAGTCTTGCGTCAAAGTCCCCTCAGCCCAGTGGCCAAGATCCTAGGCCTGGCTTCCAGTGGACAAGACGGCTGACGCTGGAACTAATTTCGGCACGGTCTGAAAACGACGGCTTGTTTCAAGACATGAACTGGAGGAAAAAGAGTGTGTGGAACCGGATTTCCCAGCGAATTGCAGTAACATTCCCGGACGAGGAACTACATCCGTCTGCAGAACAATGTGAAAACAGATGGAAAAACCTGATGAAAGCGTACAAAGCCTATATGGATTCGCAGCAAAAAAACTGGGGCTGACCGTAAACAGCCGCCTGCTTTCTATGATGAAATGACTGCTACGTTTGGTTGGAAGCCCAACATCCACCCAAAATGCTGGTTCCTGTCACCAGACCCCCAAAGCGTCCAGTTGAATTGTCAAATTCGGAGGACAATCAGGATGGTGAAGCAAGAGTATCAACCGCTCCGACCACACCGCAAGCTACTCCAGTCCGTCTCAATGCTACAGCAGGTGCATCAGCAGCCGTGGCAACCCCTGCCGCTAATGATGAGGAGAAGGGCGTAAAGAAGAGGAGAAAGCGGTCTGGAGGGCAGTCCAGTGACGCCCTGGAATGGCTCAAGAAGACGAAATGTGAACATCAAACCCGGCAAGAGCATAAGCACAACGACCAGATGGCAATACTTGGCGACCTTACTGCAGCTGTCAATAGGCTTGCAAAGCAGTAGAGGCATACTTCGAAGTACTATTTATTTATGTATCTATTGTGAGTTTGTGAAGAATACAGAATGTGTTTCTACATAACATCCAATGCTACATGCACATACATACACACACACACACACACACACACACACACACACACACACACACACACACACACACACACACCAATGAATCGGTGATGATACTTTGCATCTACAATTATTATGTATCCCTCTCTCAATGATGTATCATTCAAGATACTCGAGCTTGTGCTTATTTCACTGCTTATAATGAGAAAGTACTACCTACGCAATATCGAGTATCATCTTCTGGTTGCGTGTATGTGTGACGCGGTTTGCGTTAAAGCATGGGGTGGCAGGGAAGACTACCAATCACACACTACTGCCTACTTGCACAACACTATTCCTTGCCATTCTCTGCAGTCAGTAGCTGGCACCCAAAAGCTTTTCACACATGCTTTGATTTGAGAACAGTTACATGGAAGGTAGAATGTGCAAAGAAATGAGGACCCTACTCAAATACAGCAGAATTATGCGAAGTGAGTAGTAGAAAGTCAATAATTGTGAAAGTCTGCCTTCCTCTGTTAAGCAATGAGATCCACAATTCGGTTGCGCTTGTCTGCGGCACCGGTGTTTGGTTGAAAATACTACGTTGGATTAGGTACATCACCTTCAGGTAGGTCTTGAAGAAAGTCACTGACATCGTCTTCGTGCATGATGGCCATATTGTGCAACACACAGGCGGCAATGGTGATATGGGTGGCGTTCTCAACATTCACAATATTTAGATACTGGAGTTGCCTCCATCTTCCTTTCAGCAATGCGAAAGCTCTTTCAATACACATCCGTGTTGACGAGTGCCTGGAGTTATAATTGGTCTGACTTGCTGTGAGGTGACCATCATCCCTGAAGGGAGTCATCAGCTACGGCTGTAATGGGTACGCAGAATCTCCAACGATAAAGGCTTCTCCAGAAAAGAAACGACGAGCATCTTCAGTGACCAACTGCTTCAGGGGACTGTTTTCGAATACTCTGGCATCATGCACAGAGCCAGGCCAGCCACAATACGCATCCGTAAATAGCAGGTTCCTGTCGCAGACTGCTTGTAGAATAACGGAATGGAATTTTTCCTGTTCAGGTATGTCTCAGGTGCCTCATTTGGTGCTGCAATCGGTATATGGCAACCATCAATCGCCCCCATGACGCCGTGGATGTGCTGAGCTGAATGAAATTCTGCTTGCGTCCTCTCTGCACCTTGCCCCTGGGGCCAACATATCAATAACGGAGCCATGTCCTGCAAGGCAAAACACACACGCCGTACGCTGTGCCATACTGTCGATTTGGATAGACCAAACTTGTCTGCCACCTCTCTGATGGTGCTCTTACTGCCAAGCCACCAAAGAGTAACCAAAAGCTGCTTGCGCACGGGTATAGGCTTTCCGACCTCCATTGCCCTGCACAGCCATGTGGACAGAATGGGATAGCTTTGTGCATACAATTTCTACTGTTGCACAGTGCAAACGGAAGTGTCCACGAAAATCTGCATCAGACTGCATCAGACTGCAGAGGCACAACAACTTCGACGTAGACCCTCTGCCGCGGAACTGATACACGTCGAGGTGTTCGAAATCCAAGGACTCCATTGAAGCCACGTTGGTGCGACAGTACACAAATCTCATCAAACAAATCAGACGGTATCTCCTCACTTTGCAGGATTCTGGCAATGGACTTGAAATGGTCCTACTATGGAGGCGACAACATGATCGCAGAACCCTGCTTGCTCACACTTTTAGATTTGAATTTCAAAATATATTACAAAAATTGATCGGTACCTTGACAACCTTGGCAACTTTCAATCGCCATTTTTATACGTCATCATTACGACGACCAACTGTGCTAGCCATCGTTCGATTGGAGCTGGGAGGATCCGAGTGATCCAAGATAGGGATCGGGAACCGGATCACATCAATCGAACATGCCCTTGTTGATAAAATATTTTAGGATATTAATACATTATAACAACAACTCTGCAAAAGACTCAGCTCGGAAGCCGAACTTCCAGGCCAGATGAGTATGCGCAATCAGCTGGTCACGATGCTCGTACAACAAAACTCGTGATATAAACGGATGCGGGTGTCATGCCATCACACGAATAAGAGCAAGAAAAGAACCGTTTAGCACGTGTCGCACACAGCAGACACTAGAGTACAGTGTAATGCAATGCAAAGAAGTGAATCATGCCATGACAATACAAATTAATATAAATTCAGAGAGTGCAACATACATTCTGAACACGCCTATCCGGATATATTTTTGTGGAAAACGGGTGTGGCACAGTTCACGTTGGCACATATATGTTTGCACAGGACATGTTGGCACAGGACATGCTGGGACAGGACGTGGTGGCACAGGACATAATGGCACAGGACATGTTGGGACAGGACATGTTGGGACAGGACATGTGGGGACCGGATATGTGGGACCCGGACATGTGGGGACCGGACATGTTGACCCAGGATAATTATGTTGGTGAAGGACGTGTCGGCACAGTTGTTGTTGACTTCTATTTTATTTCACCAATTGCACAGGCATGATTGCCTTCTTACCGGCCTATAGGTCCGGTTCTCAAAGAAAGATGAAGACAATTATATGAGGAAATGTATAGAGATAAGGACATGCAAGCGATATAATTATTATTATAGAAATGTTTGTTATGACATTGTGTGTATGCTGACACTCAATTTGTGTGAATTTTTTAAATTGTGAGAACAAATAAAATTTAGTGGAAGCAGTTCACAAGAATATATGTGTGAACATTGCCAGACTTTGCTGGATGGGGACAATTTTTAGCAGTCCAGGGAACATGAAGTACAGCGAGGGGTGTTGGACTGTTGGCATAGAGTTTACAAGTTAAGTACATCAATATCAGATAGGGCTCTCTTGAATTGATCGGCAGCAGTTATCGATACTACATCAGCCGAGAGGGCGTTCCATCCAATACTGATATATCACACTCGAGCGACCAGCAGGCCCGCGAAGGAAAGGGACTTGGAGCAAGTTGGAAACTTGGCCCCTAGTGATGCGCTGATCGTTTAGCACGGTGTTTGGAGCAGTCGTTGTAAAGAGTTGCTGTAGGAGTGGGCTACAATATCCATTGATACAGCGGTGTACAAAAATTAGAACTTTCTGAGTGTATGTGTGTGTCAGGCAGACAATACTAAGAAGTGCCAGAAGCGGTGCGGTGGACGTGCGCTGTTGCAAGGTTGCACGAATGCCGGCTTTGAAACTCTTCTCCAGACGTCCAAGCAACTGGGCAGAAAGCCCAGGAACAAAGCTATTAGAACCATAGCATAGCTGAAAGAGGACCATGCTAAGGAACCAAGTGCGTCTTGCGCGCAAACTGAGTCCTTGACCATGCCTCCAGAGCTGGCCAATGGTCCTAGCATTCTTGCGGCTCAGGTGTGCAATGTGGGGCTTCCAGGACAGCTCCTCATCGAGTATTACCCCGAGATACTTAGCCGAAGGTGTGACAGCAAGTTTGTCAGCATGGCAGCACACCTCAGGCTGTGTGTCATCTGCGCCACGGGACTTTATGAAGAGAAGCTGAGTTTTTGCTGCATTCAGCAGCAAACCAATACCTTCTAGCCACGTGGCGAGGCTTGTGATGGCGTGACTGAGGGTTCGGCATACTTCAGTGGGGTCGGTGTCTGAGCAGTCGAGAGTAATGTCGTCCGCAAATTCTTGGTGGTTTACCGGTGGCAGGATCGTGCTCAATGTGCTAGTGTACAAGACTAATAGCAGGGGACCAAGAATGCTGGCCTGTGGGATACCACGAGAACAAGAAACGGCAGAAGAGAGATGCCCTTGAACTCTGATCTGCTGGAAGCGGCCTAAGAGGTAATCGGAAAACCAAGTGAGTGGGGTACCAGATATGCCAAGAGACAAGAGTTCAGTCAGAAGACGCTCGTGCTGAACTCGATCAAACGCTTTCGACATATCTACGAACACAACTCCAGTGTACTCTCGTCGAGATTTGGCTAGAGACCATCTGTTGACTGCGAGGACAAGTGCATCCTCTGTGGAGTGTTGTTTACGATAGGCAAATTGGCTGGTGGGTAGAAGCTGGGCTGATTCGAGATAGGTGGTGAGCTGTTTCTTTACAAATGCCTCAAGAATACGGGAGATGATGGGTAGCAGAGAAACTGGGTGATAGTTTGTAGGTGAGGTTGGGTCGTCACCCTTAAATAGAGGGGTGACATGTGAGGATTTGAAGGTGGAAGGAAGTTGGCCTGCTCTGAGCGAATAGTTGATAATTGTGGTGAGATTGGGTGCCAATATTGAGGAGAACTTGTGTAGAAGTAGGCCAGGCACACCATCACTGCCAGTCGCCTTACTTGGGTCCACAGAACTCAAACAGGACTCGACGGCAGAAACTGCGACTGGCTGGAAAGTAGAGAAACCACATTGTTGGGTTGGTCCCAAGGGAGCTTGAAGAGTGGCGGGACCCGCTGGGTCATGTACGACACTACGAGATGTTTCACTGAGATCCTGTAGGGATGCCTATGGGACCTGGACTTTCTTTTGACGGCCAGTTACAACATTCAACACTCTCCACAGTTTGCGCTGGTCACTCGTTCGGCATTGTTCAGTGAAGAACTGGTTGCGGAGTTTCCTGTCGAGTCGACGGGCCATGGCCCGAGCTTCTCTATGCTGATCACGCAATTGTACATTCGCTTGATCTCTCATTAGGAGCCGGTGTAAATGATTACGTTTACGAATTGCACCCACAAGCTCATCAGTCAGCCAGGAGCATGGGCGGCGTGCGCGTTTACGCTGGGGTACCAATGGTGCATACTGGTCTAGTGTGGACATGATAGAAGAAGTGAAAGAATGAACCATATCATGGATATTGCTGTGGGCATCAAAGTCTTGCTGCTGTTTCCTCTGGAGGTCGATACTGAAACTGTCCCAGTTTACTGGATGGAGACGTCTGGTGGTTTTTACTGACGATGACAGGTGGTGGTGTGTGTGAATGCTCAACCGGGCCAGCACAGCAAAGTGATCACTTATGTCTAAGTGTATTGCTTCACAGATACCATCCAATGGGGAGGATGAGAGGAACAAATCTAGCATCGTGGATGATGTTGCCGTGACTCGAGTTGAAGATGTAACGTAATTGCAGAGATTGTAGTGGGAAAGTATGTTGTACAAAGGGGATGCAGATGGAGAAGTTGGATTGCTAAAATCAATATTGAAGTCGCCAAGTACCACAGTGGACTGCTGACATCCCTGAACAGCTTGCTCAACGTTCTGATCCAGTGTGGTCCAGTAGGCAGCAGAACTATTTGGCGGCCGATAACAGCAGCCGAAGAGTGTTCGAACAGGGGCTAGAATCTCCAGCCACAGCATCTCTAGCTCGCACTCTAAATCGTCCCGTTGTCGAAAAGCCAGTGACTCATGACAATACACAGCAACTCCGCATCATCGCTGATCAGATCTTTCTCTTCTGTATAGCTCGAAGTGCGGGATGGACAACTCGTGATCGGACACATCCGGGGTCAACCATGTCTCGGCTATCGCGAGAACGTGAATGCCTCATGTTGAGATGAACGTTTGAACTTCTGCTACCTTCCGCCGAACACTACACACATTCAGAAATCCCACACTGAGTGACTGGGTCGAGGAGGTAGGTGGTGCTATGGGTGTTACATTATAGTTATATTTCGGCACAGCAGACATTGGCATAGCAGATGTTGGCATATGATATACTGGCACAATTACTGTTGTCCCAATCTGCATTGCCACAATGCATGTTGGTATAAGTCATGATGGCACAGATATGTTTGGACGAAACCTGTTGACACTCAAGGCATTTTCATAACGACAGATTGCATGCCTTCTCACCGGCCGGTAGTACCCAAGAAATCGCTCTGCAAAAGTGATTTAGGTTGGGAATCTTCTTGAAACATTTGTTGGGATGAGGTCTTTCATTTATAAGGCAAATTAAAGGCGCAAATGAAGCAATGTTTTATTTCTCTGTGTCCGCAACCAACATGATATGCTATTTCGTTATGCTGGTTGCAGACACAGATGAATAAAATATTGCTTCCACAGGGGCAGCCATTGATAAAACCACTCTAAAATATAATTATCACTTACTGACACAGAGGATTTTGGCGTGGCGATTGATTGTGGAATTTTGAAATGGATTACTGCGATTTCTAAACGTCACAGTTATGTAATGGGAGTTGCCATTCACTCGGATTGGTTTGACGTGGTAAGGTGCATGCCGAAGAGCCAATCTACCTAGCCAGCGGTTTCTTAATACATGGCCATGTGCTTGCAGCCAGTCATAGGTTATGAGGTGAAGTCCGTACTCCTGACATGCCTCCTCTGCAAACTGCTCAGTCACGTTGGGTTTCAGTGATGGCGTGGCTGCGGCGTATACTGAGTCGTTGTAATGGAGCCACTTGGCTGCAGGTCAAGGGCACATACAGTAGTGGGCAGATAATAGGTACATTAGTAATGAAATATACTCGAATAACGGGTGCCCTGGACTCTATAGTCGCACTCAATGAAACCTTGTCTGATGGCAGTGTCAGTGCAATGAACTAAAAAAAGAAGGTAATCGATAACCGCTTTGCAGTGATCGTTTCAGCCCTACCCTGAGTTGTTGCCGGGTACACACACACACACACACACACACACACACACACACACAAACACACACACACACACACACACACACATGCACACATACACACATACACACACACACACACGCACAAGGAGAACGATTTCGAAAACTGGGGCGAGAGGTTAAAGTGAAAAAAATGTTCTATGCATACGAAGAATGAAGGTTGCCGCTACTCAAACATCTCAATGAGCAACATGCTGGCTATACCTAAAGCTGCATGTGGCTGGGCAGACCTCAGTGACCAGCAGTACGCCACTGTTGCAAACCACTCAGTGGTTCTACCCAGTACAGTTGCTCTCGGTGAGACCCGGCCCAGCGTGCAGATTTAGTGCCTTCAACTTGCGCGGCCATTGACGCCGTAGAAGTGGGACAAATGCGGCCGCGTACGCATGTCCAATACAATGATGTAATCGGAACTTATCCAGGGCAGCCAGCTTTGCACTTTGGGTCTATTTTCACCGAGCGCAACTGCACTTAAAGCAGTCCCGGAGAAAGAAGTTTTAACCAAGCTATGAACAAAACGTACGATGCCGACATAATAATGTGATGAACAAATTAACTTTGTATCTTTATAGTTGTAGTCTCTTGGGGCGCGTTTGATTGGTCGGATCCAGAACAGGGGCGTTTGATTGGTCTGTACTGGTCTGCTCTAGGTTTGGAGTGTTCAGAACATGTTCTGATCACTCCCACCCCAGAGGCTGGAGCAGCCAGAGCTTGTTGCAAAGCCCAATGAGAACCTGACAGGACTACGCAATGAGTTTCGTTTTTTGTTTTGATTCGAATAGATTTTGGCATGTCAGTGATTACGAAAGGGCGTGGTGATGTACATAGAGGTCCAAGTGTGATTTTGCACATTACACGGCGGTCCACACGTCCATGATTGATTTTTTGGCTGTCTTCGAAGCTTCTTCTCCGGTTGTAGTTGCCTTTCAAGTTTGTTTTGCCTTCGCATGTTGAGCAATGTAAACATCTTTGAAGTCTGTGTAAATTTTGAAGTTTGCGGCATGGTGAGCTATCATGAGTTCTACAATATTTCAGGCAAAAATATTCGCCGTTCTGTTTGATTGGTAACTGGTGTTCTGACTGCTCCAGTGACTCTAATCTGAATCCGGATTCACCAATCAAACATGCCTTTAGTTTATTCCCTCCTTATCCTGTAGTGTTTTGAGAAGAAGGGAACGAAAACGTTCAATACATAGTTCACATGTCCGGACTGGCTGATGGTATGTTCCGGCGTAGATGCATACGACGACATGTTATTTTTCTAATGAACAAATGGAATAAAATATGCAAAGAATAATTTAAGAACGTCCCAGTTGTCACCGTTATGCCGGGTTATGACACAAGCATAGACATGAACTGCTTCTTAGCAGATGGGGTGAATTGGTAACTCGCGTCTGGGTCCGACTCCGGCTAGATGGGTAGGTTTTCCCATTGGAGTGGGAAACCTAAAAATAGGTTGTAATCACTCTTGGCATCGCCTCTCTGTGTCAGTCCTCTAGCCCTGTCAATAGACATGGTTAGCATTTTACCATTCACATTGACTTCGACCGTACGTCGGCCTGTACCATTTTGTGTGTGATTTCAAGACACTGGTTAGCATTTCGGTTTCTGACACAACGATCGACTTGTGACGTAACCTAGTTGGAATTCTAACGTTTCGTTCTTCCGCTAAACAGAGCTTTCTATCGTCGAAACGGTACCAAACCAATGGTATTTTGGGTGTTGGGTACGAGTACGGTTGGATTTAGAGTGAACGGTTAAATGCTAACCATGTCTACACACACAACAAACGGGTACAGGCCGACCGTCGCAAATCGCGTGAATGGTAAAATGCTAAACCATGCATAGTATCACTTTCTACCACATGGTTGCTGGCTACTGAGCATCTCTCTCACGGGTTCATTTGATCACAATCCAACAGCCTACCTTCGCAGATGACATCATGATGGCTTGTTCCATCACTGTCATACAATTCTTTAGTCGAACTGTTCTTGCCCTGCTGGTATATGAGATGTTGGCCATCCTTCACGAACGATGTCCATATTGAAGTAGGGTTGCTGTAACCGCTCGTCACCATCTCGTTGAGCAATGCTCCCATGCAGTCGCGCACGCCAAGCGTCTGATTGGTGAAGGAATCATGGTCTACCACGTTGTATCCTCTTCTTGTGCACATCTGGCGGGCATGCGTCAAGTTCGTTTTCTTCTGGCAGCTGTCACCGTCGAGGTGTGGATGACACGGCAAGCTGGCAAGAGCCATCCAGGTGTACGTTGCGTTATCTGTACCCAGGCACTTTGTCTTGAAAGCTGAACATAACACAGTACACATGCAAGGCACAGTCAGGTGAAGTAGAAAGCACACATAAACAAGATGTACACTTCCTAAGCAGCGGTACCATAGTTCAATTGAAAATTATTTACCTATGCAAATACCACTCGCCCATTTAGCTCCATTTCCTCCAGCAAACTGACTTTCCAGTGCACTTTCTCTCCGGGTATCGTTTGACCCACAGTTCAGGACGAAACATTACATTTTGTCCTCTCATTTCACCTTGATAGCCTTTCATCATCTTGGCCTTGTTGGAAGGATCAAACCTTAGCATATCCATTCTATTAGTTCTCAGCTATAAACTGCATTCGATTTTAGCTACCTGGTAAAGTAGAGTCACTCTACCGATAGAGGAAGAAGGTAGAGGTAAGTGGACGAACGTTATTCTACCGGATTTATTAGTTTACACGATATGTACGTGAAATGTTTCTATTCTGTATGGAGGTGTACAAATCCTTGATCTTGCCGGAAATCCCGTAGCTCTACCAACTTCTACCGGTTTCCACCAACTTTTTCCTGGTAGAGCCGGTAAAGGAAAGTAGAATCCACACTTTTGACTTGAAGTTTTGAGTAGAAGAAACGAACGCCTCTACCGAAAGAAATAGTTTCTACCCAAACTTGTAGATCAATAAATGAACGCCCCGTTAATGTGTACAGGTATTCCCCCATTTCACAGAAATATGCACAGCAAACGTAGCTCTACCAACTTCTGCCGGCTTCAACCAACTATTTCCTTGTAGAGCCGGCAGAGGAAAGTAGAACCCACCCTTTTAAGTAGAAGAAACGAACGCCTCTACCGAAAGAAATAGTTTCTACCCAAACCTGTAGATAAAAACACACGTCTCTTTAATGTGTACAGGTATTCCCACATTTCACAGAAATATGCCAGCAAACTGGAATTCACTTCATACAGCATAATACTCACTATGCTGACACTTGTCTCCATGGAAACCATTCCGGCAGTTGCAACTGCCATCGTCAGTGCACTGACCGTCATTCAAGCAATTACATACTGCAGCAGTGATTGGGAATATTCACGCATTTCCAAAAAAGCACAAAGAGAGGAACAGAAAAGCGGGTTCTTGACATGGCCTTGAACATGATAACATGGAGACGTTAAATTAACTCTTGACAACAAAATAGCTCAACTCATGAGAGTGACCAACTCCCCATATATATGCATTATTTATTCCACATGAATAGAATAAAGAGGTAGAATTGGTTGGAGGAACTGGCATGAGGACACGGAAGTTTTTTTCTTCTTCTCGACTCCGAATACAACATTCCAGCATGCATGAACCCATGGATCATACATTATTTGACACGCAGGCATATTACAGTAGCTTTCTTTAGCCCTTACCTTCTGTGCAGTTGGGTCCATCTAGTCCCGGTTGACATTCACACACTTTGCTCTTTTTCACCCAGGGTTCCTGGCACACAACTGCATCCATCACATAGCACACACCAAAGAGGAAGAACACGAGAGAGTGACTCAGCCGGAAACGGAGTCAGGCAGACTAAAGACAATTATAAAGTAAAAGAGGCTGGACCAGGGAAACTTGGATAAATCTGGGTTTCGATCATAATGGCCTTCTTCCAAAAGATAGAATTGCTGCTGGAAGGTAAGCACTCTTAAAACAGGAATGACAAGCAGCAGTTTACAGATCAGTGCTATCAGTAGATAGCGTCAATTATCATCACTGCTCTGCGGCACACTCAGACAATTGAAACTTTGCTAATAAACAAAATTACGACAGAAGCACAACGTGACATGACCAACTTAAGACAGAGGGTGGTAATAGGTTTTTCATTAATTTTGACAAAACCAGACCAAACCAGAGCACTTGCAGACGATAGCACGAACAGTTCACAGTTCAGGCGTAGCACAAATTGCTATTTTGGAGTGTGGCCGGAGAACTGTTCGTGCTTTTTTGTTGTGTCATTTAGGGGTGAAACGAATTCTGAATATTCTGGAATTGTTCCTTTGGATAACAATTCGAAGCATTCGGTTCAGATCTGAATACATAGTGTTTTGGTTTTGGACATTTTGCATGTGCAAGTAAGGCTGCGTTTACACGACAAAGCTGGGCGTGAAAACGCAACAAAATCCTTTCGGATGCATGGTTCATTTACACGGTACGAAGAGCAAAACGTAAAAGTTGTAGACCAAACTGGAAGAAAACCAAAACGCTGGCCAAGGTGGAAGAATTTGAAAACGGAAATGTTCTGCAGGATAAATTTGAGTGCGTAAACAGTCGAAACGGTATGCTTGCCTCGTTTTGCGTCACGTTTGTTTTGTTTTCGGCCGTTTACACGGATCCGGCAATCCCAAAAATTGTTTTTACAATTTTCGTCATGTGACGAGTGTTGTTTTGTGGCCTATTCCTGGAGTGTGATTGGTGCTTCCACGACAACACTTGGCACATGATGAACATTTGCGGATCCTTTGCTCCCGTGTAGACGCGCGAAAACGATACAAATGGAGACCACCTCGGATCAGCTTTGACCATGTAAACGCACGAAAACGAAAGAAGAAATGCGGGACCGAAAATGGAAAACTGGCCGTGCATTTTCATGTAAACGCAGCCTAATATTGCAGTCATTGACTTGGTAGTAGTAGTAGTAGTAGTAGTAGTAGTAGTAGTAGTAGTAGTAGTAGTATTTATTATTTGACTAGGGGAGTCCCAACAGGCATGGCCTTGTTACAGGGAACCCTAGGTGAATCTTTGTGAGGTGAGCAAAAGTACCAGCAGATTGTGCCTGACGACAGTTTGGAGGAAGAGTGTTCCACCGACCTGCCGCCAGAAAAGAAACTAAGCGCAGTCCATACCCAATATGTACAGTAGGTAATACTAAGGCAGCTGTATCCTGGCCTGGGTCCGTGTGAGGTTATAGCTTACAACATTAGAGAGGTTCCGCACAACAAAATTAGTCGATGAATGGAGAGTCCCACTTCATGCGCACCTGTGTTCCACCTTATGGAGTTTTCGAATTACGTACCTGCCCTTGGCAGCTTGGAACGCGGCAGTGTATGACCAGGTCGACCTGGCTAGAGAGTCCTAAATATGTACCTCTAACGTAAAGTTGCTCAGCTTTACGTAGTGCCGAACCTCTCTATTAGGGTGCTGTTATTATAACAAATTTTCTGTGTACTTTTATTTTCGGTACTTTCGGTGCGTCTGTTTCATTCGTAAAATTTCAAGACTCTAAACAAACACTAACACACATAATCCAATAGGGTACTGCTTCTCTGTACCGAAATTTTCTGTCCACCTACCCTAGCCTGTTGCCCTCATACCGAAAATATTGAGCACCGAATATTTCTGAAATTTTGAGTAGCCTCAAGTACATGGCAGTAGAATGCGGTGGTTGGCATGCTGGGAAAGGGGACTATGGCTCACAAGGCTGAACCAGACAGAACTGTCTACATATTCTTCAGTGATGTGAGAACAAACAAACTATATAATATCCGATATCCAATTTGAAGACAGGGTTGGTGCTACTTCGGCGATACTTATTCAATTCGTTTACAGAATATTCGGTACGATTTAGAATATTCGTTTCACCCCAACACTCTTACTTCAAGCGAGTACTCAAAAAGACCAGTATACATGTCCTAGTTCTCTGTCACCCCTGTTATAACTACCGCGAAGCCTACTCGTACACGTAAGGTAAAGGGGAGCCCACTTTTACATGGATGTACGCTCTGAAAATCCCACGCCAGCCATATGAATTATGAAATGAGTAAAACGAATTCACTTCTACTTACCGAGTTGGCAATGGTGGCCGGTGAATCCCCTAGAGCAGCTGCATTCACCTTTGTCATCACACTCACCTTGGTTCAAGCACTTGCATGCTGCAACAGGCAGGGAAAAAAAGCACATGCATGGAGTGAGTGACGCAGAAATAATGCACGGGAGGTCACTGTGTAGTAAGTGGCCCCCGGAGGCAATCACGCACAAACTCAAGTCAAAGCACTCACTTTCTAGTTTTCCAAATAATCGTCACAGAAGAAATATTATAAACACACTTGGAACACAAAGAGAGTAAAGAAGCAACAATACAGAAGAAAGGAAGGGAACAAAAGTTCGGCAACCTGCAGCCATGTTCTAAGTCCTTAACCAATAAGCAATCTACGAAAACCGGTTGCCGACGAAATTCTAAAACCTTCTGGAACATTAGTATAAGCAGCCAATCACATTTCACAGCTCAAGAACACAAACAAGACACAGGGGATGTAGGGACGGCTTCTTGTTAGTGTTCATCCCTTTCTCTGGAAGGTGTGTGTTCTGATAATAACAACAAAAACCTAATGCAGGGCGGTAGCGACCACTTTTGGACTGGTCTCAGTTGGACATTTTACCTTTTAAAACTTGCAGTTAAGATGGTATGACCTAAACTTGGAGAAAGTACTTTTTTCTCGTCCGTCTTGATGATACTGCAAAACCATCAGATGATGATGATGGAGATGGCCTTGTGACGTCTTCAGGTGACAAAATGCACGGAATATCCGCTCTAATGTGGAGTTTGTGACCGGAAGAATAGACAGTCGTGTGGCAAAGCACTGAATCTGCACCCTTATCATAATCCAGGAAAGCCAAGATTGTGAACCGTTAGGGCTTAGAAGCGCACATTACAGGTTTCGTTTCCTCGCACAATTGTTTTGGAAACTAAAAACATTGCTGGCTATGGGAATAAAAGAAATCTCAGGAACAGACGCCTTCAAGTTTTTCGCAGCCATCTCCGACTCTCGATCAACATGAAGCAAAAAAAAACCTGTGCCGCCAGTCTGTCCCTGACAGCCCTACATATAAGGCAGAGTACATGCAGGTCTCCCTAGACGGTGCTGTGTACATAATGCACATGGTACTGTGCCCAATCGATCGCTGAACTCCCATCAGCTCTCTAGAAAGAGAAAAGGAAACATCGGCCCGAAAAGTGGTCCGGTGAAAGCAGGACCAACCGGACAAGTGGCTATGCCCCTGTAATCGCTTACCCACACATACACGCACCTACACACACAAACACACACAAACACGCACATACACGCACATTCAGATATGCATATGCGCACATACAGACATATACACACATATACACACACATGCACACAAACCTAATGGCTTACTGTCTTACCCTTTTCACATTCTTCACCGTAGGCCATAGTGCGGTTACATATACAACTCATGTTTGGTGCAAGAACACCGCTCCCACAGGACTCTGTGCAGAAAAAGACAATCAAAGTCAATATTGGATTACTCTTATGCAGTCTATAACAGGGCTGCCACACTTAGAGGGAGAAAAATCTGACGGTGGTCTGGGGTGTCCCCCGGGTGAAAATATTTAGGAAAATGGCTTGCTGTTGTGGCCCCAGAACACATTTTTAACGGTCCACACATTTGCATTTTACAGCTACATGTACATGTACATGTACAATGACTGGACAAACGCGACCTACAAGCGCCGAATGGCCAACTGGACTAAAATGTGCTCAAAATAAAATCGGTCGGTTTGTCCGACAGGGGATCAAAAATCGGACGATTTCCAAAATATCGGAGCAAGTCGCAGCCCTGTTATAACACTAGAATGGGGATAATAGCTTTTCTAAAAAAAAACTGTCACGCAGTATTTAACAAGACGAGTTGTTCTTGGGCTTTTACACCCACGGTACCATAGACCGGGATGCATGACAGCAAGGCACGGTACTATAGAACGGGATGCATGACAACAAGGCACGGTACCGTAGACCGGGATGCATGACAGCAAGGCACGGTACCATAGAACGGGATGCATGACAGCAAGGTACGGTACCATAGACCGGGATTCATGACAGCAAGGCACGGTACCATAGAACGGAATGCATGACAGCAAGGCACGGTACCATAGAACGGGATGCATGACAGCAAGGCACAGTACCAGAGACCGGGATGCATGACAGCAAAGCACGGTACCATAGACCATAGACCGGGATGCATGACAGCAAGGCACGGAACAATAGACCGGGATGCATAACAGCAAGGCACGGTACCATAGAACGGGATGCATGACAGCAAGACACGGTACCATAGAACGGGATGCATGGCAGCAAGGCACGGTACCATAGAACGGGATGCATGGCAGCAAGGCACGGTACCGTAGAACGGGATGCATGACACCATAACACTTCCAACACGGTTTCTGAACTCTTGCTGTACGATACATACATCCGTATTACTGTGCAGTACATACTGCAGATGCTCAAATGTTCGGAACTCGGCTTTCCCTGAATGGAATTGAGCAATCGAAAGGTCTATTTGAATAGGAAAGTTCTCAGCTCCGTCTGCAAATAGTAGGGTTTCAGCCCTCGCCGGGGATTTTACGTCAAGTAGTAAACTTTCACCTCCTCACGTGGTGACAGTCATGGGAATTCCCCCTGTTTCTTGACAAGAACAAAAAAGTTGTCTGTAAATTCTCTCAACCCTGGTGGCAAGTCGAACTTCAGCTTGTCATGCATTTTGATTCCTCGCAATTGGAATCCAGGGAGTAAATTCTCCCCTGTCTCTGCCACAAACTGATATTGCACCAAACAAATCCTTAGAATCAAAACATGCTGCAATGACTTCGGAGTAACCCTGGGAAGACACCGAAGAAACACAGCCTGAATCTCAGTTCTGGGAGTGTTCTCAATGTTGTGATTCACCGTGGGTGCAAGATATGCTGGGAGACGACATGTTTGCACATTGCAAGTGGGCACATTGTTGGCATAAGCCCTGTTCATACAGTGCACGTAGCGACGGGACACATTTACACAAACGCACAACTATATTCATCACGTTAGCGGCACAAACAGGGACCAAACACAGCTTGTGCATGGACAGCCATTGCAGAAGACAGTCATTTATCATTCTCTCACTTACTGACACAGAGAATCTTTGCATCCTCATGGCTTGTTTCGTTCTTAAACGTCACATGTTGTCTGCTAAATTTTACTGTTCTGTAAAGGGACTGACCATTGACCAGGATTGGCGCGACGTGGTAACCTAATCCGTCGGACTTATCTAAAGCCAATCTCTCTAGCCAGCGTTCTCTTAACACATGGCCATGTTCTTGTAACCAGTCTTTGGTTATGAGGCGAAGTCCGTACTGCTGACATGCGTCCTCTGCGCACTGCTCAGTCACACTGGGTCCGAGTGCTGGAGTTGCTGCGGCGTATACAGAATCGTTGGCATGGAGCCATTGAGCTGCAACACAAGGGCATATACAGTTGCGGGTAGAAACAAAAATAGGCGGAAGAGAACTAAGACAAGCGGCATCATTATTGCTTTAACACTGCGTTTCGTGAAAATAGCAAGGCCAAAGCTGTGTTCGTTTTTAGCTACCTAGTAGAGTAGAGTCACTTTACCGATAGGCCACACGTTTTTATTTCTAGTTTTCTCGTCACCTGAAAATCTAAAAATGTTTGCGAGAGGTGGAAAAATAAAAAATGACCGAAGAATAAAAAAAGTTTATTAGACCTTTGTTCACACTAAAATCCACCAATACACCATGCAAAATAGCATCCATAGTTAGCAACTAGTATGTGGTAGGCGCATCTATCACAATCTGTGCATGTGCAGCTAGACTGCGCACAACAAATGCCGACCTCGCATTATGTGTCGCACAGGCCACGCCACATGATGTACATGTGCATGAGTGTGCTGGTCCCCACATGCACAGTCAGTGCAGCACAGTTTTTTTCTTTTTTTCTTCAAGACTCCTAAATCGTATGCGTGTGCGTGACGAGAAACATAGAAATAAAAATGTGTGGCCATAGAGGTAGATGGTAGAGGCAAGTGTACGAACGCTGTTCTACCAGATCTAGTAGTTTACACGATGTGTACGTGAAATGTTTCTTTTTTGTATGGAGTTGTGTACAAATCCTTGATCTTGCTGGAAATCCCGTGGCTCTACCAACTTCTACCGGATTCAACCAACTTCTTCCCGGTAGAGCCGGTAGAAGAAAGTAGAATTTACCCTTTTGAGTCGAATTTCTTTTCAAAAACGAAAAACTCTACTGAAAGAAGTAGTTTCTACCCAAACCTGTAGATCAAAAACGAACGCCCCCTAAAGCAATCCTCAGACAACTGAAATTCTCGCTATTGTGAATTTAATATCGTGGTTGATGACACCCGATCTCTTGGATACGGAAGTGCCCAGAGCTAGTGAGTAGTTCAATGTTCACAGGCCTGGGGCTCGCCAGACTTCATAGAGCAGTACCGTGTCACATTTGCAAACCATTCAGCGGTTCTACCAAGGGAGTAGTATAACACCGGTTTATGACACAAGCATTCGCATGAAATGCTTCTTCGCAGGTGAAATCAATTGGTTACGCATGTGTGGGTCTGACCCTGGCTATAACGGTAGGTGTGCCATTGATGTGAGAAACCCAGGTGGCTACACTCTTGTTGTCTCTTTGTTTCATACTTTCCTGTCCCGTCATTATCATTGGACATAATGCACTGTGTGCTACTCAGCATTCTCACCATTTGCCCGTCCAATGATATCGCTTTAAAACAAGCAATTGTTTACCTTCGCAGATGACATTGTGACGGCCGAACCCATGAACACTAAATATTGCACCACTCGATTTGTTCTTGTCCTGCTTGTAAATAATACGCCGACGATTGTACTCGGATGATGTCCATATCGTGATTGGGCTGCTGTTACTGTTCACCATCATCTCGTGGAGCAATGACTTTACGCAGCCACGCACACCAAGCTTTGAGCCGAGCAAGGTGAAGGTTTTAAAGTCGACCAGCTGATATCCCCTATCACTGCATGCGTCTCTGGCTTTCGTCCAACTGGTTATCTTCGGGCAGTTGCCTGAATAACACGGCAAGCCGGCGAGAGCTGTCCAGGTGTACATCACCTTGTCCGTACCCAGGCACTTTGTCCTGAAATCTGAACACAGCACAGCACACAGACATGAACAACATACTCAGGTACAGGAGAAAAATATTACGGTGGCCAAAAACCCCTTTCTGTCCGACTTGTTTTCAAATTTTCAAGGTTGAAGCACTATAAGGACAAGCTGTTAATCCCATTATTTTGCTAGTGGGTAACGAATCCTTCTCTATATTTGGGGCCTGTGAAAGTCAAACACATTCTCATTTATGCGCTTTTACCAACAGGATGAAGGCTTGTACTAATTATGATATACCGTAGTGCCTTGTATTAAAGCCTATCTCATATAGAAGCAAACGGCGAGGAGACAATAATTTGATAACCGCAATCAAAAAAATTAGCTGAAACGACATTTGTGTGTTTTATTCACTGAAACTAGTTACAAGTGTTGGAAGCTATGTATCAGCGTCTGTATAACCCAAATTTGTGTGTACAGAAAGATAGTATAATTGGGTTGAAATTGTTCAAGTAACGTGTCGTGTTTGGTTCAGCCAAGCTTGGACGTTAATGTTCTAAGTGAAATCAAGAGTACATGAAAACCAGAGTGTGCAGCTTGGGGCCTTTTCTGCTATGGGTGTCTGTCACGGCGAAATTCCGTGATTAAATCATATTTAGCCCAGATCTGAGGCGGGAAATGCGTACAACTGAGCTGCAGTATTGCAGAAAGAGACCTGCTTGAATCCTGCTACATCACTAAAATGATGTAATCACGGAATTCTGCAGTGACAGCAACCCATCCGAGCTGCACACTCTGGTTTTCATGAACTCTTGGTGAAATGTACTGCTGTTATGTGTTATCACTTTGTCCTTCCTTCTTTCTTTCTCTTGTTTGTTAATTTCTCGCTTTGATTGTTAAAATTCACACTTGTAAATTTCATTGCTGTTGTTCTTAGTGTTATTTCTCTAACCTAGATTTTCTATAATAGTTAAATTTTGTTTCAGTGTCCTTTAGTACAACGACGAATCCTGATGAGTGTTGTACGAAAACTTGTTTGAATCCATTTTTTTCTCCACACCATTTCTTCATATTTTCATCGTTTTATTGCACATCGTCTCCACCGTATTTTTTACATTGCATGAATAAAATACACAAATGTCGGTTCAGCTAATTTTATTGATAGCAGTTATCATATCGAAGCCTGTTTTGAATAGAGCTCTGATTTTCAGAATACACTGTTGGCACACAAGCCTGGTTTTAGTGTTGACGCACATATAAATACCTGGTTTGAATAGAAGCTTGATGTGAATACTGAATAGAAGCCTAGCCCTGAAATCGGCTTCCACAGGAATACGCCCGGCGGTAATACACGACACTACGGAGAGTACATATCAATTCTCTTTCTGGAATTCCGGACCACTATGATCAAATGCTGTGGAGACAAATGCACTGGAATCAGTTAATCCCATTTTTCTGTAAACAGTAGGTAAGTGGGTAAATGAGTCCAATAACGTCACATCATTTTAGCATAACTCTATGATACTCACTGTGTGGAATATGAAGTGCCTACAATGCAGTCTGCATGCCCTTAGGAAAGAACCTTTTGCTCCAAGTATCTACAGAGAGGTGGCAAAGCCATTGTTCTTAAAAAAAAATAGAAAACGGCTTTGACTGTGAGTTTGCTGAAAAGCATTACTTGTAGTCCAGCACTACTGCTCTGCTCGGGTAGAGTAATTGTGCATGTGCCGGTGTGTATTTGTGTGTGTGTGTGTGTGTGTGTGTGTGCGTGTGTGTGTGTGTGTGTGTGTGTGTGTATGTGTGTGTGCATGTGTGTGTGTGTGTTTTCTTAAGTGAATGTGTGCAGGTGTGGTGTTACATACTCACTTCACATTGCAGATACCCTCATTGATTTGTTTCCGTCTTCTCTTTGGGCTTTGTTCATGATAGCATTTTCCTCTTTCTCTTTTTCTTATCATTATCACTATCTTCATCATTTTGCGAGAACTGTGGCAACACGCCCAGTGAGAAGGCAGATTTTGCCTGTGCTTCTGGTGAAGAAAAATATAGCTAAACAAAACCAAACAGAGACACTTACTGTCCTGACATTGGTCTCCGCGGTATCCGGTCGGACAGACGCAGGTGCCGTCTTCAGTACACTGACCATTATTCAGGCAATTGCATGCTGCAGCAGTGATTGGATGCACATATTTTCCAAAAACAAACGAATAGTGGCAGAACAACATAGCAAATGGGACTCTCGAGACATTGTTACATGTATCTTGATCATCATGACCCTGTACCCACCAGTACATAGCTACATGAACAGCCAGATTACAACACTCCCACGTATATCCAACTGATGCCCATATGACTGTATCATTTATTGCACGTGGATAGAACAAAATTCCAGCCACTTTTAAGGTCACAGTATGTTGGGCTATCCGGCATACAAACTCGGAAGTGTATCTTTGGCTTCAAATACAATTATAACGGCTTGTATGTTCGCATGGGTCATACATTCTTTGACACGCTGGCACATAATATATTTCAGCAGCTTTCTTCAGCCCTTACCTATTGTGCAGTTAGGTGCATCTAGGCTGGGTTTACATTCGCATACTTTGTTCTTTTTCACCCAGGGATGTGTGCACACAACTGCATTGCATATCACAAGAAAGAGGGAGAACAGCCAGAGATTAGCCAGACACAAGAAGGACAGACAAGTAGACAGAGGGAAAAATAATCTATTATTATTTATTTTGAACAAACGGCGAGGAGACAACAATTTGATAACCGCAATCAGTAATACAAGGCTGGATCAACATTTGTGTACACTTTATTCATGTAATGTAAAACTGCGGAGACAATGTGCAATAAAACGATGAAAATGTAAAGAAATTGTGTAGAGAAAAAAAAAGGAAAGGGATTCAAACAAGTTTTCGTACAACACTCTTCAGGAATCTTCGTTGTACTAAAGGACACTGAAAACAAAATTGAACTATTATAGAAAATCTAAGTTTGAGAAAATAACACTAAGAACAACAGCAGTGACATTGACAAGAGTGAATTTTAACAATGAAAGCGAGAGCAATGACGAATGTGTGTACAAAAACTAAACTTGCAACTGAAATACGAACAAAGAAGAGAAAGAAAGAATGAAGGACAAAGTGATAACAAAGAACAGCAGTACATTACACCTAGAACATTAACGGCCAAGCTTGGCCGCACCAAACATGACACTTTACTGGGACAATTTCAACCCAATTATACTATCTTTCTGTACACACAAATTAGGCTTATACAGACGCTGACAGATGGCTTCCAAAACTTTTAACTGTAGTCCATAACCATGACGACCACGGCACAATACAGTGAAAGAAGAGTCGGAATACGAATTGCAACAATCAGGACTAGCCAACAGATGATTGTACACTGAGGACTTGCTACCACGAAACCTACGCACAACACTAACATTCTCACTGGCACTCTCACGATGAATACAATCGTCGCTCTCCGACTCTCTGCTCCCTTCACCGTCCGTCCCATCATCCGCTTCCTCTGCGCTCTCTCTGTTATCCCACCTGCCTTGGTCCATTGAACGGGACTCGGCCGTCACCCTGCTGTCATGTCCCTCCTTACGCCCTTGTCTGTTGAGTGCATAGCTTCTGTTGTAGTTGGCTGTTGATCGTCTTGGTCTTTCAATAGTGGGCTTGGATGGTGGATTAGTTGTGGTTGCTGTAGATTGCATTGTTGGTGATGGTGTGGGAGCTGCTGATACGCAAGGTGGGTCTTTTTGGGTTGGCAATTGTAGTGCTAACGCCACTGCCGGTGTTGCTCGCGGTCGGTCACTGGCAAGCTCCACCGCAGCAAGAGCCGACGGTGGAGGATCAGGAGGAGGCAGTGGGACCGGGACCGCAAACGGCACCACTCCAGCCAAAGCCGCCGGGTGCACCGACGAAGGAACCACCGACAGCAGTAGCAAAGGCGGCGACACAAGCCGGCCCGATGAGCCACCACGACCACCCTCCTCCACCACCGCCACCAGCGACGGCGGAGCAAGCACAGTCTGTGAGCCAGGATCCGCAAGTTGTGTAGGTAACGGTTGTTTTCTAGGTCGCCCTCGCTTCGGTCTTTGTTGTTGTTGTAAATTTCACTGCTGTTGTTCTTAGTGTTATTTCTCTAACTCAGATTTTCTATAATAGTTCAATTTAGTTTTCAGTGTCCTTTAGTACAACAAAGATTCCTGATGAGTGTTGTACGAAAACTTGTTTCAATCCCTTTCCTTTTTTTTCTCTACACAATTTCTTCAAATTTTCATCGTTTTATTGCACATTGTCTCCACAGTTTGACATTACATGAATAAAGTGTACACAAATGTCCATCCAACTTGTATTACTGATTGCGGTTATCAAATTATTTATTTTACTAGTACAAGAGGAAAAACATGCACAGTTCGCGTGCGACTCGGCTGCAGGCCGAGTTTTCCACATCTATAGGAATACCCACCCCTCAAGGGGCAAGGCTCCCATGCAGCTCCAAGAGGCAAGAGACTGGACAATTGACCAGGGAAATGTAACACTTAGCGGACGAATGAGCGTTTCGACCGCACAAAAATAGCAGGTTTGGTGATGCACATGTGTTCTGTGTTCTTATTCCTAGCAAGAGCTTGATGAAACGGTATACTTGTTCTGTCGACTTTCACTCAAAATAGAAACTAGAACAAGGCCTGCATAATCAGGGCCAACCGGAACAACTCCAAAGCCTTCACACAGTCAGGGGAGGCTTGTTCACACGAAAGGTATACTTTGAGAATTGCATACAATGTAAAGGAAACACTTGAAGTAAACGAATTCAAACAAGCATTTCGGAGACAGCAACTTTAATATGGCAACCAAGAGTACTAACCATGCATTATTACAATAGTGACAAACATGCGAGAGAAATGTGAATGTGAAACATACATGTAAAAAGAAGAAGAAGAAGTGTTCAGATCGTTAAGGAAATTCACTTCTACCAAGAGTCCATAACCCCAAGGGTGTGCAACTGGTTGTCTGGCTGCTGCAGGCCCACTGCGCGGCGAAATTCCAACATAACGTCATGCCACTGAGGCACAGAGGACAAAACTCTGCATTCCGCGGTGCTTGGATTTTTTGTTTGGCACCAGGGAGTAGTACAAGCGCAACGAACGTGTACGTCATTTCTGACGTAATGTTGGAATACCGCCGCGCGGACCCCATGTACAGAGTTGCAAACTCTTGGGGTTATGGACGCCTGCTTCTACTTACCCTTCTGGCAATTGTCTCCGGTGAATCCCTTCGGGCAGATGCATTTGCCTTTGTCGTCACACTGACCCTGGTTCAAACACTTGCACACTGCAGCAGCCACCGCATACACGCAACATGGCGTGAAACAGAGAAAATACACGGTTTGGTTACGCAATGAGCAGTGGAGATAGAGAAATTGGACTACACAAAGTTACCAGGCAACTTTCGCTTGCAAGCAAACTGGGGCGTGAACACTGTTGAAGCACTGAAGCCAGCACTCGAAAATAGTACTAGGACAAAAACACATGTAACCGTTAGTAGATCTACTCGTAACAGCCATTCATAAACAAATATGATACATTTAAATAACCGACGAGGAGACAACAGTCGTAAAATAGCAATTAAAAATATCAATTGTGCACTCATAACCATGCATAGAAAAGCAACATTTAACGCAATGCACCTACAAACATAACGTTTACCCGTCCTCGTCGGTTATTTAACTACTTTAAACGGAGATACACTCACGATCAGACTGAATGTCTGAATAATGTGCTTCGCAAGCGTTATGTTTGTAGGTGCATTGCGTTTAATGTTGCTTTTCTATACATGGTTATGAGTGCACAATTGATATTTTTCATTGATAAATATGATACAATTCGCCTGTGGAGATTGCCCATTTCAAAATTTAAATAATAATAAAGTTTGTCTCTTTCCCTCAAAACCAGTTAATAATAATAATAATAATAATAATTAACTGGTTTGAGGGAAAGAGACAAACGGGAAAAGTCTGAAGAAAAAATTGACTGTCACCACCAGGACTCGAACCAGGGACCCTCGCTTGTAGCCAGCGATGCTCTAACCACTGAGCTATGGTGTAGTCGTCATCCCAGCAGAGGCCGTTCAACATTAAATAATAATAATAATTCAATAATAATAATGATAATAATAATAGGTCAGACTCGGATGGAAAGGCAACGATTAAAAAATTAAAAGAGAGGACCCAAGGTTTACAAGTTATGCGTTTTGTGCCAAACACTAACGACAAGATTACATAAACCAGAGTGTGCAACTCGGGGTGGTTCCTGTGGGAGCGAAATTCATGCAGTACGTCATTTCTGACCTCATGGTAAGCCACAGGTACGGTGAAAAGTTCCTTAAACAGTCACAGTGATGCAGGATGCCGAGTTTGTTAGGCACATGCTATAATTTTATCGTTTTTCTTTTAAAAGTTCAAGGCATCTCACTTACTGACACAGAGGATTTGGGCTCGGTGATTGCTTGTGGTGTTCACAAACCTCTGTTTTCCCTCGATAAACGTTACGGTTCTGTAAAGGGAGTTGCCATTCACCACGATTGGTTTGACGTGATAAGGTGCTTGCCGAATAGCCAATCTCTCTAGGAAGCTCTCTCTTAATACATGGCCATGTGCTCGCAGCCAGGCCCCGGTTATGAGGTGAAGTCCGTACTGCTCACATGCCTCCTCTGCGAATTGCTCAGTGACGTTGGGCCTCAGCGCTGGCGTTGCTGTGGTGTATACTGAGGAGTTGGCGTGAAGCCACTTGGCTGCAAAACAAGGGCACATACAGTAGGCAATAGGGCATACAGTCGTCCCTCTCTATTCCAGCACTTGTTTATCCAGCACCCTTGCAAACCAGCACACTTCCTGGCAAAACGATTTTTTCAGATCTTTTTCTACCCTTTAATCCGGCACTTGAATTCCGCCTCCAGCAGCGATTTTCTGCAACAAACCACTCAAACTGTACATAATTTGATTTTCTAATCCAGCAGTTGTACATCGCATACTGTCAGGGACCATTGTAACATACACAACACATGTGACATACATTTGGGAATAAATATCCTATGCTAGTGCATAAGATATTCCCAAGTGTATGTTATAGACATGCATTCCATGATTCCACAAAGTACTTGGTTTGACACAGAAGATCCCTATGTTTTGATATACGACACAAACATGTATGGTAACATGTGGGCCGGGTGGTAGGGCAGGATTTGATAATCCACTCGCGGCACCCTTCTTTATCCAGCAGAAAATTCCATTGCAAAAGGTGCCAGATTAGAGAGGGACGACTGTATGTATAACGATCACACAATGACAACAGCGAGCATTCCCAGATGGCCTAGAGTACTCAACACCACCAGGATGGAGCGATCCAACAAAGGACTGCCTTAGCTCCACTTTGTGCATGAAACGAAGCATTACAACAATTATTTAACCGATTCTCTCTGGTCTCTTCTGCCTTTTTGACAAAAGTTATGAAATAAATGTAAATAACGGGTGCCCACAATCTAGTCATGCTCAATAAAACCCGGTCTAACGGAAAGGTCAATGCTACCATTTCACCCCTATTCTGAGACAGGTTCAGGTGTCGGCCAATATTTGCAGGCATGGGGCTGGGTGGACAATGCAACAGCCTACCTTCGCAGATGACATCATGATGGCTTTCTCCATTACTATCAAGTAACTCTTCTCTTAACTCGTTCTTGCCCTGCTGGTACATGATATTTTGGTCATCCTCCTCGAGCGATGCCGATATTGAGATAGAGTTGCTGTCACCACTCGCCATCATCTTGACATCAAGATGGCTTGCTCCACTACTATCATGTAACTCTTCTCTCAACTTGTTCTTAACTTGTTCTTGCCCTGACGATAGGGAGATAGGGTTGCTGTCACCGCTCGCCATCATCTCGAAATCAAGATGGCTTGCTCCACTACTATCCTGTAACTCTTCTCTTAAGTTGTTCTTGCCCTCCTTGTAAATGACATGCTTTCCATCCCTCAAGAAAGATGTCCATATTGTGATAGGGTTGTTGAAATTGCTTGCCATCATCTTGTTGAGCAATGCTTCCATGCAGTCTCGCACGCCAAGCATCTGACTGGTGAAGGCATTGTAGTCTACCACGTCGTATCCTCTTCTCTTGCACATCTGGCGGGCATGCGTCAAGTTCGTTTTCTTCTGGCAGCTGTCACCGTCGAGGTGTGGATGACACGGCAAGCCGGCGAGAGCAATCCAGGTGTACATTGCCTTATCTGTACCCAGGCACTTTGTCTTGAAACCTTAACATAACACAGTACACATGCAAGACACGGTCAGATGAAGTAGAACACAACTGGACCACAGCCTACCAAGACGTACACTTGCTCAGTAGAGATACCGCAGTCCATTTCAGAATTTGTTTACTAAAATGATCCCAAATATCATCGGACCATCACAGCTATACAGTAGAACCTGGTGTAAGCGACCTCTGGGTTTAGCGACCACCTGCTCTTAACACTGACCATTTTTCCATGCACTGACAGTTCTACACAGACACTGTGGGACCTGGTTCTAAAGACCACCTGGCTTTAACGACCGCTTTTGCTTGCACCGCGGAGTGGTCGCTTAAACCAGGTTTTACTGTAGTTCTGGTGATGGCAGTCAATTTTTTCTGCAGACTTTTCCGCTCTCAACTTTCCTCAAACTTCCGAACAAAACACCTACGTCAGGCACTATTTGCTTTGTTCCTTGCCCTAAACTGTTACAGTACATATCGGTTATAGTGTGGTCGTGTACAAGAATATGCTGCCTACAAGAATGAACTCTCATATCTTCATAATCGAACTCCCATTGCATCGTAATGCTGCAAGTGCACCTGCCGTGGCTATGTATCTTGTTGCAGAGCCACATGGACAGGCCTATGGGACTATGAACAGCCGCACGTACAAACGCACTACGAATGCATGTCCAATGATCTTCCCCGCCTGCAGGTCCATGGAGCTAGCTGTCCTGTTGTGTGGTGCCAGTGGGCCTTTTGAACTCGGACACTGGCGTGTACGTAGTGCGGACGGAGAATGCCACAAATGTAGAGACCCACCAAGCCAAGCTCACAGCCAAATCATAATGAACAACAGCCGAGCTTTCAGCTACTGTAAATCGCCCAATATTCGCGTCACTAAATTTTCTCGATTTCTTAGAACCAACAAGTTTGCGATGGCAAAAGGTCGCGAAGCACAGGGGACACCTATATACACCCACTGTTGAAGCTTGATTTCACGATGGTTAATATTTGCGTTACGCACTTCTGGCGAAAATAGCGAACATTAATCCGTCGCGAACATTAGGCATTTTACAGTATTCCAGAAACATGAACAAAACACGGGTTTACTTCATACGGCATATACTTACTGTGCTGACACTGATCTCCATGGAAACGTTTCGGGCAGATGCAGGTGCCATCTTTGGTGCACTGGCCGTCATTCAAGCATTTGCATGCTGCAGCAGTGATTGGGAATGTGCATGCATTTTTCAAAGCACACGAAAAGGAACAGAATAACGGACTGTCAAGAAATTGTTCACATGTCCTTGCCCATCATCATGGACGCCTCAAACCAGCTCTTTTAACCACTTACAAGGGTGTCCAACTCCCCATATCAATATTTTTGCCGAAGGGGTAGGGGCGCTGTAACAGTATAGACTTGATTGATTGGAGAATTCCCCGAATGATGTTCAAACCAGAGGTTATAAAGCAAAAGAAAGGCGAGAACCGCAGGAGTGAGAATAGTAGGAACACAAGGTGTTACCATAAGACAAGCAAAAAGTGTCAAGGTAAAACTATTACACTCTCCCGGCCCCATAGGAAGCCAAGGTTCTATTAGATAACACAATCCAGTTAGGAGATGCAATTGTGGAAAGGGGAATAATCACTCATGCACATGCATAACCACATTGAAGTGTAATCCAACTCAACTTCATCACTCTCACAAGGAGATGACGCAAAACCATATCAGTCTATAACATATTATTAACTATCTCAGTAAGAGATGCATATGGCTCAGCCCAGTTAGATCAAGGCTGCTGTCGTTGTGAGGCTAGATAGTTCTGCAGCGGTTTAATATTCCGACCAGACTCATCACATAGGTTGCCAGCGGGCTCCCACGTAGCTTCGCTGCTGGGGTACCACCACTGCGATGTCGGTGATTCAAAACGGCTTCGACAACATAGCGTGTGTGTCCATCTAGATCTGTGAAGGGCGGAGGCGGGGGTTGGTGTCTTCCAGGAATCGTGTTCTCTTCGTAGCGTTCAAGAGCAGTGACATCAAACACGGGATGGCAGCGAAGTTCACGGGGTAGATCCAAGCGAAAAGCATTCGCTCCAATCTTAGCCTGGATACGATACGGACCAAACCACTTGGATTGCAACTTCCGAGAGGGCTGGCCACGAGCTTCCGGGGTCAGTAGAAAGTCTCTGTAGACAAGAACGCTATCACCAACCTTCAAATCACTGGGCGTTCTCGTCTGGTCTGCGTATAGAGCTTGCCTTGCCTGGGCGTCGAGCATTGCATCTCGAGCTATCCTTAGTGCGGCTTCCTTCTCGTGAAGCCAATCGACCGAATCACTCCTTTCCCCTCCTGTAAGAATGAATTCGGGCAGGGACTTAGGGTCAAACCCATAGTTTAGATAGAACGGTGTATTAGCTACAGATGACTGTTGTGAACTATTTATTGCAAACTCGCAGAGTGGTAGAAGCGAATCCCAATTGTCCTGTCTCAAGTTCACACATGCTCTTAGAACATCTCCCGCTTGCCGGTTAACTCTCTCTGTTAAACCATCCGTTTGAGGGTGGTTAGCAGTGCTGAATGCCAATTTAGTTCCTAGCTGAGAGAATACTTCTTTGAAAAAAGCTGCAGTGAATCGTGGATCGCGATCGGAAACAATGGTCGAGCTCAGCCCGTGCAGACGAAACACGTTTTGAATGTACAGTTGAGCGCTGCCCTTCGCATCAATCTTCGAGTTTGTTGGAACAAGATGTACGCATTTCGTAAGTCGGTCCACAAAGGTGTAAATTGCGTCGAAGCCACAAGAAGTAAGGGGCAATCCAACAATAAAATCCATTGAGATATCCTGCCAAGGACTATTAGGTATTGGAAGTGACTGGAGAAGCCCTGTTCGTGGCTGACCTCCCTTCGTTCGCTGGCAGAGATCACAGGTTTTGACAAATCTCTTGATATCGAGACCAATTCGGGGCCAGTAGAAAAAACGTGCTAGGCGGAAGTACGTTCGATCACGACCCGGGTGGCCAGCCGTTGCACACTCATGGTGTTCTTGAATGAGCTTTAACCGGACACCGCACTGTGGTATGCACAACCGGTTATTGGGGGATGCCTTGAGGTACTTGCGATCAGTGGATTTGTCCTAATAATAGCGATGGTGCAAATTATCTCGGAGAGAATGCTTCAATTTTTCTATGATGGGAGTTAGCTCTTTGTCTCTCTGGTAGGCATCTGATATTGTATTGGACACGTCATCATTCATTGCTAAAGCATACTCAATAGCATTCAAACGTTGTACTGCATTCTCCACGAGGTTACTCTCATGGAGATCTGGGCGACGCGAAAGGGGATCTGCAGGGTTCTCTCTGCCGGGTCTGTGAAGGACTGTGTAGTCATAGTCAGCTAGGAATTCAACCCATCGCGCCTCTCTCTTTGTAATGCTTGGTTTTGTTTTCAGATAAACTACCGCCATGTTGTCTGTAATGACCTCAAAGTGTTGAAAGAGGTAGATGCGCAAGGTCTTTAGCGCAAACACTACGGCCAATGTTTCTCTTTCTGTAGCTGTATAATTCTTTTCAGCAGCAGACAATTTTCGGCTAGCATAAGCCATTGGATGCCAGGCATCTTCCTCTAGTTCTTGGAGAAGAACACATCCCAAGGCGAAATCGCTTGCATCTGTTACCACTCTGAATGGTCGGTTCACATCAGCCAGCCGCAATAGGGGCGCATTCAACAAGGCATGCTTTAGCGATTCAAAGGCATGTTGCCGAGAGCTGTTCCGCTCGAATCGTGCATGTTTTCCCGTTATCTCCTCTAAGTTCTTAGAGAGCGATGAGTATTGATCTATGAATCGCCTAAAATAATTCGTAAATCCAAGAAATTGCCTCACCTCTGTGACGAAAGTCGGAGCGGGCCAGAGGTTACTGCGGCAATCTTGTCTGGGTCAGGGGCGATGTGCAGTCCATCGATGCAATGTCCCAGGAACCGCACACTCTCCACGCCAAATTCACATTTTGACCGTTTGCAAAATAACTGGTTGTCCCGGAGCACGCTCAATACCGACCGGACATGCTGCATATGCTCCGACCACGTTTTGCTGAAGATGAGTATGTCATCTAGGAACACGACTACGAACTCCCTCAGATATGGTTGAAGAATCGTATTCATCATGGATTGAAATGTTGCCGGTGCATTGGTGAGACCAAATCCCATGACCCTAAATTGGTAATGCCCAAAGGGAGTGTTAATCGCGGTTTTGAACACGTCCTCAGCTTGAATGCGAATCTGATTATACCCTGATCGGAGGTCTAGTTTCGTGAAGTACCTAGCGCCCTGTACGGTATCGAATAAATCATCCACATTGGGCAAGCACGCCTTGTTCTTAACAGTTGTCTTGTTTAGCTCCCTCCAATCGCAGACCATGCGTAACGAACCATCAGCTTTCTAGACAAAAAACACCGGTGCACCAAAGGGGGACTTACTTGGTTCTACGAAACCCTTTTTCAAGAGTTCTGTGAGCTGTTTCTTCAATTCCTCCATTTCTGGCCTGGGCAGGCGATAGGCAGGTCGCGATGGGGGTGATGAGCCTTCCTCCAGGCGGATTTCGTGGTCTACAAACCTCTCTGGTGGGAGTCTAGCTGGCAGATCATCCGGGAAAAGATCGACATAGTCACGGAACATGGCCTTGAGATCTGGGTGCTCGTTCTGAGTGGATTTGTCGGGAGGTTCCTTGCCAATGCCGTCTTCTACGCTGAATCATGCCAGAACACCTTCGTCTCCACTCCTAAGAGCATGCCTAGCCTGACGACCAGATATGAACATCGCCTTCACAGGAGCGGTCGGTTCGCTTTGACTGGGCGACGCACAAGGCAAACCATTCGAGTTCAACCTGACTTCATTCGTCCGGAAGTTTATGTCTGGATTGTTACGCGTTAACCAAGGTGTCCCCAATATAGCGTCATAGCGTTGAAGGGGGAACACCGTGAAGGTTTGGTTATCGCTGAAGTCGCCTACGATAACCTTCAATTCATGGGTGGTCTCCATGGGAAACGAGCTTGATGCTCCATCAGCCAGCGTGACATTCAGGTTTTCCGAGCCAATTTCGGTTGGCAGGTTTACTCTCCTGGCAAACTGTTCGGCAATGAAATCATGGGTCGAGCCCGAATCTATTAACATAAGCGCGCGACGACCGTTGATTTTGCCTTCTACACGCAGGAGCTCTTGTTCCGTTTTCACATTGACGCTGGTAACCTGGGCCTCAATAGTTGGTGTAACATCTCACTTGAAATTGGCTTCGGAGCATTCAGCATGATCGTCAACATCCTCCACAGCGAGGCTACTGAATCGGTTACGGGTAGAGACGGAGCACACACTACACGCAGGTGATGCCTTTTCTTGATGCGTCAGTAATCGCATCGGCCTTACTGACGTCCACCGTTTGGGTGATCTCGATGCTGCGGGCAATTCTGGGCCATATGGCCTGGTCGACGACATGCGAAGCAGCCCCCCTGGGCTCGTAATGTCTCACGTTCCTCGGGGCTTAGTTTTGTTAGCTTTCTGCTACCTGATGGTGGTGCGAATCCCGGCGCGGTCGCCAGTGGTGGTCTGCGCTGAAATCGGCTGTCTGAGGCGACTGCTAGCGCTTCCTGAATGGCGGCTGACAGTGTAGTGGGGTGTTCCTTCACTACCAAGGTCTGCATGTTACCGTGCAGGCCGTTGACAAATAGCAAGGATCTGGAGAGTTCGTCAAGTTCCGGCACCTGTAAACTTAGCCGAGAAAACTCCGTTACGTACGATTCAATTGACCCACGCTGTTGGATAGAGAACATATCCAACCGCACTCTTTCCCCGTCATAGTGCGGGCCATACACTCGCGCTAGGGCGCTTTTCAAAGAATGCCAATCCGAAAACTGCTCACCCGCTTCCATGGAAGAAATTAGCAAAAGACGCGCATTCCCAGCGAGGTAGCTAGCCGCAAAGTTAACTTGGCTCTCCGGGTCACCCTGAGGTGAGCACTTCAAGGCTAACTCGACCTTAAATACCCACTCTTTGAACTCGGAAGGGTTGCCATGGAAAACATTCGGTTCTCTGGTAATGCGTTTGACGCTCGGGCTTGTCTGGGAGAGAGAACGCGATCGACACGGGGCTAGATCCGGAGGACTTGAGCTTGATGTAGCAGGTAATTGATGTCGTCCAACTGTAGCAGCCACGTTGTCCCGAGCGCGGCGGATCTCACGGAAAGCGGCGTATAGCAGAGCAGTAGCGGCCAGGAGCACAAGGCACGTCAAAGGGCAAACGATGATCTCAACCATCCTCAAGCTACCAGTGTAACAGTATAGACTTGATTGATTGGAGAATTCCCCGAATGATGTTCAAACCAGAGGTTATAAAGCAAAAGAAAGGCGAGAACCGCAGGAGTGAGAATAGTAGGAACACAAGGTGTAACCATAAGACAAGCAAGAAGTGTCAAGGTAAAACTATTACAGGCGCAGCATTGACTTCCGTGCACGCTGCTTTGCACACTTCACGCTTTACACTTCAAGTGCAGAGATGTATTAATTTTTAGCTTCTTCTTTTCTTTTTTTTAGATCAGTTTACAAGGCAACACAATATTGTAGCTGCTTCGCCCCTTTTGGTGTATTCTAGTTGCAGTGTTCAGATTAGCCAGAATTCTTGTAGCCGACATATGCTCTCCCAATCAGTTTAAAATTATCACATCCCGGCTACAAACTGAGCATATGTTGCAGAACAGGTCGGAGAAGCCCGCATGAGGACTCGGGAGTTGTTTTCTTGTCTTCAAAATACAACATTCAAGCATGCGTGAGAGCATAGGTCATACATTCTCTGACATGCCTACATACATTACAGCAGCTTTCTTCAGCCCTTACCTTCTGTGCAGTTAGGTCCATCTAGTCTGGCCGTACATTCGCATACTTTGTTCTTTTCCACCCAGGGATGTGTACACACAACTGCATCACACATCGCAAGGAAGGGGAAGAAGAGGAAAAGAGTAAATCAGCCAGACACGAAGTCAGACAGACTTAAAGGTTGCATTTGGTTGGGCAATTCCAGGATGATATTGACCACCCGTGATTCTGGAATGTTAATGATAGCTTGCATGCCGTCCTACCGGTAAGACCACGGGTCCTACCGGTAGAACCCAAGAAATCGCGCTGCAAAAGTGCTGTTGCTTGAGAATCTTCTTGAAACAATTGTTGAGATGAGGTCCTTGTAGTACAAAGTAATGGCGCAAAAGGCAAGACTACATCCAGGGCATTGCATATGTGCAATTTTATCAATTTTCAAAATGGGCGCCATGTTCCTGTCGGAGCGCTTGCAACTGCGTCCAAAGTGAATTTCGACCGTGGCATATCGATTGCCATGGCAGTGGAATGCAAAATTCCATGCTCTGTTTCCATGGCTACCATGGACTGTTGCCATAGAATTTCTTATTATGCCTTGTACGATCACGTCCAAAAAAGCGTGGACTCCTTCATTAGCGAGCCAAAGTACTTGTCAATGCATGATTATAAAATCCCAAGGGAACTGAAAAAGAATACTTGAAGAAAATTAAATATGTTCTACTTACCGAGTTGGCACTTGTCTCCGGTGAATCCTTTCGGGCAGCTGCATTCACCTTTGTTGTCACACTGACCCTGATTCAAGCACTTGCATGCTGCAACGCCCATCAATAAACGCATGCACGGAGTGGCATAGAAAAATGCATGGGGTGTTACTCTATGCTTAGTGGAAATCGAGACATTTATCATTTAGTCGGAACTAGGTCTCCGACGACCTGGTGAGAAGGCAGAAATGCCTGTTCACTTGGTGAAGTAAAATAAAAATAAACAACAACAACAACAACAACAACAACAACAACAACAACAACAACAACAACAACAACAACAACAACAACAACAACAACAACAACAACAACAACAACAACAACAACAACAACAACAACAACAACAACAACAACAACAACAACAACAACAACAACAACAACAACAACAACAACAACAACAATAACAACAACAACAACAACAACAACAACAATAACAACAACAACACCATTTGACTGAGGTGGGCATGATCGATAGGGCGAATCCCAAGCAAGTGCGTGATCAATTGGCCTAATCTGGCCGAATCCGGAGTAGGTGTACTTGGAGTGGAATCCGATAACACCGGCCTCCACACCGGGAGTCGCTGGAGTGGAAATGGACGTTGGCGTTTTTTGGAAGCCTTCACAGAATCTTTGTACGACATGCGTGCATTTTGCGTACTACACCCTTGCTTTGTTAGTTTGGGTCAGCGTTGCTCGAATTGCACTGCCTGCTCGCACTCAATCCAGTTTCGCCAATCGATAACACCCTTGAGCACGAGTTAATTAACCATTTAGCCGTGGCAATGTCAGCCATCTCCAGCAAATGCTTCATCCGAGGTACAGGGCTTTCCATGACTTTCACAATAACTAAGTGGTCTAGGTGAATTGGGCCGGTCTCTCCGCTTGCATAGATCATGATACCGGATGATCTCCAGCAGTCTTGCTGCGTGTTCTCAGATAAAAACAAAAAAAACGAATGGCTAGGTGTCTTACCCTTTTCACAATATTGACCATAGGTTGAGGTGCGGTTGCATACACAACTAAGGTCTGGTCCAAGAACACCGGTCTCACACGTCTCTGTGCAGAACAGGACAACAAAAAGTCAATTGCATTACACTCTAAAGGTCGATCCACAGTACAACTTTCTGCGACGTGACACACGATTTGCGACAGTTGCGACAAGAATCTGCCTGTCGCGAGCTGTCGCAAGCTGTTGCAAGGCACCTGTCGCAGAAGTTGAAGAATGTTGTACGACATACACAAAATGGAGTACTGTTTCGACCCTGGGTGCACGTGCAGTGCACGTGCATAGTAATACTAGCGCATAAGGATGTCGCAAACATGAAAACGATAGATGATATGCCATATAACGTGCAACTAGACTTGGGAGGGCATTGCAGAGTAGTTGCATACAAAGTTCAAAGTTGTACAGTTACCTGTGACTTGTCCTCATGCAGAGCTCAGGGCCTACCGTGTACACATTGTAGTATAATTTGTATGCAACTTGTGTGCAATGCCCCCTCAAGTCTAGTAGCACGTTATTTGGGATATCATCTATTGTGAACTGTGTGTCGCTGTCGCAGCTCGTCGCAGGTGTTGTAAAGTTGCATGTCGCGTCGCAAGAATTTGTATTGTGAATCGGCCTTTACAGTCCCTAACATTTGACATTTTTGATAACCCAAAATGATGGTCCAAGAAACCTTATCAGGCAGCAAAAAATTATAGGAACTGATGCGTGAGAGCAGGGATTTTTTTTCAGTATCTACCCTCATAGGATCTGCCAAGGAGCTAAAGCATAGTGCATTTGACAGTTGCCGTTAAAATACAGCAGGGTGCCAATTGTCAGCCACCCTTCGGGGCATCGGCCATTTCCACGGTGATCAGATGAGAAGAATGGTCGGTTATGGGACCACTCATACATCTATCACATGCATATTCCAGCATATTTTCAACATTTTAGTACAACAGGAACTAGGTGCACTCCAGCTTCTCAGCGTTGTACATTTTGACTGAATAACCTGCTGTAAAATATCTTGGGCATCGCTTGAGTGCTGCTCCGAGTGGCAAAAATCAGCAAAACTTCAAAAAAAGCTGCCAATTTTGTATGTTGTCCACCCCGACCAGGAGATCCGGATAACCGATTGTCCGGAGAGTTAACGTCCGCACAATCGGTGTTTGACTGTAAAATAATATCCCATCATACCCCTCTTGCGAACACCTACATATGGCCTGCGCTCCCAGGGTTGCGGACAATCGCCACGCTACACTGCATAGACTTTCTTCCAACAAATAAAGTTGCTTGTGCCAAACAAGCAAGTCGCAATCAAAACTTCGAAATTACGGGAAAAAACACAACCTGATCCTCAGTTAAGGAAGGGCTCTCTATATTTGGATCCAATGTGCGTACAAGAAATGCTTGGATACGACATGTTTGCACATTGCAAGGTCACATCGTACATAGTGGCACATTATTAGCACAAGCCCTGTTCACACAGTTAACGGTGGCACAGGAGACATGTTACACAAATGCACAAATGCACAACAGTATACTCATCGTGCTGATGTCACCCACAAGGGCAGAGCACTACTTGCGCATGGTCAGAGCACTACTTGCGCATGGTCAGCCGTTTAAGTTAAGAAGCCTTGTCTCACTTACTGACACAGAGAATCTGGGCTTGAGTTTTGCTTGTGGCGTTCTGAAACGTCTGCTTTTGCGCGCTAAACATTACGGTTCTGTAAAGGGAATGGCCATTGACTCGGATTGACGCGACGTGGTAAGGTGCTTGCTGGTGCTTATGCAATAAGGCCAACTTCTCTAGCCAGCGCTCTGTTAACACATGGCCATGTTCTTCTAGCCACTCCTTGGTAATGAGATGATGTCCGTACTCCTGACATGCGTCTTCTGCGAACTGCTCAGTCACGCTGGGTCTGTGTGCTGGAGTTGCTGCGGCGTGTACAGAACCGTTGGCCTGGAGCCATTTGGCTGCAAAGCAAGGGAAGATACAGTTGTGGGTAGAAACACATCAGGAAACAAATCTACGAATAAGGGGAGCTTGAAATCAAACGCCCCGCTCCATGACACCCAATCTCATGGATAAGGAAGTGCCCAGAGCTAGTGAGTAGTTCAATGTTGAATGTTTACAGGCCTGGGGCTCGCCAGACTTCGTAGAGCAGCACCGTGTCACATTTGCAAATCATTCAGCGATTCTACCAAGGGAGTAGTATAACACCGGGTTATGGTGCAAGCATACACATGAAATGTTTCTTCGCAGATGAAACTAATTGGTTACTCATGTGTGGATATGACCCTGGCTAGAGCGGTAGGTTTCTCATTGAAGAGGGAAACCTCGGTTGCATTCAATACTCTCGCCGTCTCTGTTTCATTCCTCCTGTCCCACTACTATCACTGGACACACCCTTTAACCCACTAACCGCTATATATATACATCGTTGAAAATGATGCCCAGGCGCTGAGGACGTATATATATGAGTGGTTGCTCCCAAGGTTCCTAACTATATATAGAGAATTAGAAAAGTTGCCTGACGATTGAAAAAAAACTCAAGAAACTCGGAGTACCAGATATGGATTGATCGAAGAAGGATAGATTGACCATCACTGTGGATAAGAGTCATACTGTAGCTCAGTTGGTTAGAGCATTGCTCGCAAATAGCAAGGTCCCTGGTTCGAGTCCCGGTGGCGTGACTGATGATTTTTTCTTTCTTTCATATCTGGCTTGCAAGTGTTGAGTTTCGGAGAGAAAAGAGCAGTACGTGGCATGTGGCCTCTGGTTTCCCAATGCGCTTATAATGTCAACACTATTGGTGAAACACCCGGGAGCTGAATATACTGCTAAGCATTGTGATAACACCGTTGTTTAGAACACAGACAAACCTTTATTGCACATATAAGCGTATGGGCTTCTACCCGGGCATATTCACACAGCAAAAACTCTTTTTTGCAGCAAATTTTCACATATAAGCCCATGGGCTTATATGTGGGGAAGTATGGTATATACCGGTATAGATTATACATCTTTTTCATTGCCAAATAAGAAGTGCAGAGCCTGGGTGCCATGGCCTATTGCCTTAAATGGGTTAAAAACGCAACAGCCTACCTTCACAGATGACATCATGATTGCCTATTCCACCCCTGTCAAATAGTGCGTCGCTCGAGTCGTCCTTGCCTTGCTTGTAAATAACATGCTGACCAAAGTACATGTACGATGTCCATATCTTGAGAGGGGTGCTGTAACTGCTGTTACGTCTAGCCATCATCTCGCTCACCAATGATTTTATGCAGTCGCTAACACCCAGCTTCAAGCCAAGCCCAGTGAAGGAATTATAGTCTACGACGTTGTATCCTCTTCTCACGCACATCTCGCGGGCGTGCACGAAGTTCGTTTTCTTCTGGCAGCTGCCATAGTCGAGATGTGGATAACACGGCAAGCTGGCAAGAGCCATCCAGGTGAAAATTGCATTATTTGTGCCCAGGCACTTTGTCTTGAAAGCTGAATATAACACAGTACACATGCAAGACACAGTCAGGCGAAGTAGAACACAACGAACACCGACTTTCTCAGATGGATACCGAAATCCAGTTCAAATAATAGAGAGGTTAAGATGCATGTTATTTCCGATAAAATATTGGTTGGGGATTGTCTGAAGCATATTCAAGCGAGGTACAGTCGGGCTTGATGACTGATCAAAGCCCTCGGGCTGGTCCCTTGGGCTTGGATCAGCCATCAAGCCCTCCGTATCTTGCTTGATTATCTACTTGAGTAACGTTACTCTGATTAGGCGTATATGCAAGCAGGCTATTGAAAATTCTTGTGGTAACCGTCTTTGCACCGGGTTTGGAGAGCTGAGCCATGGTTAATTCATAGATAGTGAGGGAAGGAGGGGCGGGGAGGGGGGGGGGGGGGTATACCAATAATCGAACTTCCGAGGCACTTTCTTTGGCACTTGAGACAATTTCTGTAACAATCAAGTGCTTTAGAGGTGATTTACATGACGGCAGGATTCATCCCGTGCCTGATGCTACCATGGAGATTTAGTCACATGTGCTCATATTTTGGCGCGAACGTATCCCGCCGGCTATCCCGGTACGGTCCCGGCGCCATGAGGGGGCTGGGGGGGAGGGGGGCGGTGGTTGGAAATGCATGTCGTGACATTCCGTGGTCTGGTTTGCAAGCTCTCGAGATCACGTGCTTCTCTTCCCGGCGGGATGCACTGCCGTCATGTAAATCGCCTCTTAGGAAGTCAGAGAGATCTCGAGCATGGTCTCCAGAAAGGCATGCTGTCTTCAAGCACTAGCTTCCTGTGTCCAAAAGGAGGGGGTGGTAAAACACAGGTATGAATCGGTTCGGAACCCAAATTTGGTTCCGAACCGATTCATAACTTACGAATAATTGTTGATGTATGCATGCACATGTATGGTCACAATTCCCAGGGGCATGTGAATCAAAGAAACACGAGTATTCACTTCATTTAGCAGTTACTTACCATGTTGACACTGGTCTCCATGGAAACCTTTCCGGCAGTTGCAGGTGCCGTCTTCAGTACACTGACCATCATTCAAGCAATTGCACACTGCAGTAGAGATTGGGTGCATTCATGTATTTCCCAAAACACACAAATAGGGATAGAACTTGAATAACCTACTGGATTCTCAAGTCGTTGTCGCATGTATCTTGATCATCATGACATTGTATAGACCTCAACATCGCCACAAACACTAACACTAACACCCATTCACCAATCCCAGGTATATCCAACTTATACTCATGCCTTGCACTTGAATAGAACACACGTTCAGTAATAAGCTGGAGAACCAGGCATAAACGCTGGGAACTACTTTTTCTTGTCTTCAAATACAACAGTCCAGCACCCGGGTATGCATGGGTCGTATGTTCTTTGACACGGGGGCTAAAATGACAGCAGCTTTCTTTAGCCCTTACCTTCTGTGCAGATGGGTTCGCCTGGTCTCGGTTTACATTCACATGCTTTGTTCTTTTTCACCCAGGGATTTGTGCACACAACTGCATTACATTTCACACACAGAGAAGACAAAATGAGAGAGCTGATCAGCCATACACAAAAATGGACAGACAAAACGAGAGTGTTGCGGAATTATCCACCACCAGACCAGCGCAAGGATATAAGTTGGACTATAATTATTAATTTCAATTCCAAAATGCACAAGAAGTGTACAGAAGAAAAAAGCACGAACTCGACCAGGCCAGAAGCAAGAAGAACTGAACACAAGATATTGAAAACCCTTCTCCTCAAAAAGCTGCATCACGTACAACGCAAAACAACTGGCTGCACCATCGCGTGCATCAGCATGTGCACCAGCGAGTGCACCAGCGCTGCACCAACATGTGCACCAGCGAAATCAATATCGAAAGTACGTATCAATCATTGCATTACGTACAACATGCGCAAGAGGGTTACTCTACTTCACGACGTAGAAGAACGGCATCACCAACGGCGAACAGACAGTTATCAGCTTCAGACTCAACAAAGTCCTCGGAGGACAGCTCAGCTTCCACAAAATCACGGATCCGAGCAGCCTGGCGTTCAAAATCAGATGGAGTCAGGCCCAGCCCGGGAGTAGCCGAGAAGAGCACACCAGTGGGCTCCCAGCCAAGCATCGCACGCATAGGAGAAATCTTGAGGACAGAGTGCGGACGAATACGGTCGAAATACAGTAACACGTCCAGCTGAGATCGCCAATCACCAGCCTCATCCAACACCTTCCGAATTAAGGTGAGGAGAGTGCGGTTAAATATCTCAACAGATCCCTGTAATAGGGGATGACGCACGGCACCCTTGAGCACTGTCACACCAAACGTGTCAAACAGCGATGACATCACGGCGTTGATGAATTCCGTGCCATTATCACAGTGGACCACTCGGGGCGGGCCCACAGCGTACACAGGCCGACAAATGCCTCGGCCACTGATGCCGCGTCATGTTGACGGAGCGGAACCACTTCCACCCACTTGGTGAAAGTAACCATGCAAACGAGAACACAATGGTACTCTCCACTCTGATTGACGCCCAGTTCCAGAGTATCTATTACTACAACACTCCATGGGCCATCAGCCACCACAAGGTGACTGGCATCCGCCGAAACGCCCTTGGTTGGGCTGGCAGCAGCACACGGCGAACAGTGGCGCACAAACTGCTGACTTTGGGCAGCCATGTTCGGGAAATAGCACTTCGAGCGGAGGAAGCGCCATGTACCCTCCCAAGACGCATGACCACAGTTCACATGAGCAGCACGAACGACATCGGACTCGAGTGAACTAGGAATAACAGGAATGACGACTGCATCATTGGGCGGCAACTTTACACTTCGACACAGCATACCATCATGGACTACGAGCTGTGACTTGACCTTGACAAACGCAGGATCAGTAACTGGGTGACCATCGATGACTTGCTGGCGAGTTGCATCAATCCGAGGATCTGCATTCTGAGCAGCAGATACTCTGTCCAATGAGAATGGACCAACGGTCACCACCGCAGCGGTGACGGATGGTGCAATCCGAGCAAGGAGCGTCTTGCCACATCGGATCCAGCTGCTGGGAACACGGGTCAATTGATCCGCCGTGTTCTGCTGACTGCTGATCCACTGGACCTTGACTGTCAAGCCCGTGACAGCGACGAGATCAGTGATAATCTGGAGAGGGCCCTGTACAAGTACCTGCTGCAGGCCCCTGACGCGAACACGAGACACCTTGCCAAGCACCGATTGCAACCAAGCAGCCACAGTCTTGGAATCGGTGAATAGCGTGAGCTCCTTCACTTGCCACTGCATGGCAAGGTTCAACCCCTTGATCACGGCGTCAAGCTCAGCGACGTTAATGTGTCGCCGGTCGTCCTTCTGCCGCAGCCAGCAGCCATCCTCGACAATCATACTATTGGCCTGAATGACAGCACCATGTGCGATGTCCGAAGCATCACAACACAACGACCACTGCGTGTCTTCAGGAACTGACCACACACCTTGCGCAGGGTCATCGGTCTGCAGACGGTGAATGACTTCCGCACAACAAGCGACGACTTCATGAGACACTGGATTGTCCCATCTAGGCTTAAGGCTAGACAGACGCTTCAGATAACTGCACCCCGGGCGCAGCCAGGAGCCGACGGGATAGTGGCTGGTCAGCTTGCCCCACCACTTGAAAATCTCGCGCCGTGTGATGGCATCGGGCTAACAGGTCGGCATGAAGTCACCACGACGCTTCCACCTCACTTGGCCATCTGCAGACTCTGACAGCTGCAGACCGAGTACTCTAGCAGAGAGGACTGGCTCCGCTGGCTTGGTGGGCAACCCATACTGCGACAACTGATCGTTGACAGCACGCAGACAAGGCTTCGGAACATACAAATCGTCGACATAGTTGTCCACATCAGCATACGCACGGAGGACGCACTTGATGATTATGTCCATGAATTTGGGCGCAATCGATAGACCGAAGCCCATCCTCTCCATTGGGAACAGCTGGCCCTTCCAGACGACCGTTTGGAACGTGGCGAGAGCTGGCGCGATGCGGATGTTGAGGTAAGTCTTGCTGATGTCTGGCAACACGTGGCTGTCGACGTCACCAATAGACCTCCACTGACGCAACTTCTCTTGACAAACAGGCGCGTCCAAACCTGGATGCGACACAATCAACTTGTTGAGTTGCCGGTAGTCCAAACACGGGCGGACAGGGGTGGACTCCTTGTGCGTCTGGGCCACCGCCAGCAAGGGCAACACAGCACCAGGATCACCATGGACTGCTTGGTCATGGGGTACCAACCATCCATTGCGGATCCAAATGTCCACTGCCTCGCAGAACTGTGACTCCTACCCTTTGTCCCCCTCTAAGTCTAACAAATGAGGACTGAGACCTGTACAACCGGGTTTTTACGCCTGAAAGCAGGTGCATGATTTAACAAGCAGGTTGTCAGTCTAGATTTTATGCGCAGATGGAGAAAAAATGCGCAAAATGTTTGTAATGAGATAAAAACCAGAAATAATAAGAAAAGATGAAATGAAAGCCTGCGCACAACCCCGTCCAGCCTTGCGAACTGGGTATGGTGGATTAAGAACCCGGTTCAACGCTCGAGCAAGCGCTCTCCACTCAAGGTGTTCACAGCAACTGATAGGAACTCATATTATTATTATTATTATTATTATTATTTGCATGTACGCGTTGGAGTCAACCATGCAAGCATGATTCACAACTTCGCTTATGCAGAACATGATAAACAGGACTATGACAGGGGAAAGAAATTGAGCTAGAACGATGATATAATGCTATGATTATCATATACAATGTAGCTCATGGGCATTGAAGATATGTCATTTATGAATATGTCTATATGTCATTGAATTTTGCAGCCTGAGTGATAATAATAGTGCTATTTCTTGAGTTTCACTGTTTCAGGATCTGTCGGAATAAATATCACGATGCACAGATCTTCATACATAAATCTCGCCATGCGGGTCGGTCATGGGCAATGGCTCGCAGGCTCTGCAGAGCGTCTAGATTCCCGAGCAATCCGGCATTGGCTTGGCGCAGATCTCCCACCAACGCCTGCGGCAGGGTCGTCCGCGGTCTACCCCTCCAGCATTGCTGTTGCTGATTGGCGAAGTACACGAACATAGCCATAACAGCTGGGGATTCATCTGCCATCCGTAGGATGCGGCCAAACAGCCTCCAGCGTGATCTCTTGACCATGATACTCGAGGGTTCAGCTTCGCATCTGGCATAGAGAGCATCATTCGGTATTATTTGTGGCCATTTCACACCGATGAATGACCTTTGCTGACGGCGGTGGAAGGAATCCAGGCGAGACAGAACGGTCACTCTGACCCCCACGTACCCGAGTTGTATGTCAGTACTGGAATAATAAAAGTGCTGTACAGCCGCAGACGCAAGCAAGAACTCATATGGGGAAATTATAGAAAAGAAATAATAAGATAAAGAGAATAAATTTCAACGGACCTCAATAAACGGAGCCCCACATACAGTACCTCAGAAAAGTGAATCTTCCGACCAGTGTTTTTTTGTTGACGTCGCAACCAGATGATGTAGCTGCTTCACAGAGACGTCTTAATGCACAAACTACAAATAAATTTTATTCTTCAATTAGAAAATCCAAGCGCTTTCAGAGCCCTCCGAAGAGAGTCCGGGATGAAACCACGCACACATACCTCAACTGATAAAGAAACGACCTGCCACCCGTTGGCTCGGCATTGATCGGCCAGATCCGCATACCGCCTATCCTTCCGCGAGTTACTGACACTGAATCTGTCCTCAGCACAAACTGTCAACTCCATCCAGAATACAATCCTACAACTCGTTGAGCACAGAACTATATCTGGTCTTAGAGTGGTAAGTGCAACACAGCTAGGGAAAGAAATCTTTGCACTAACTGAGTAGACAAGAAGTTTCCAGTCTGAGACCGCTGACAGGAGATCAGTCGTAACCAACTTTCGTCTGGGATGAACACGAACTGGCTTCTCTCCCGCCTTGCAAAACGAGATGAAGTCAAGCTCATTTGAATTTTCGGTTTGTACGGTGTTTGCATCAGCGCGGATTCGAATCTCCTCACGCATGTTCCTGTCGATGACCCCGAGTACGTTGTCGTGCCTCCAGGTGTATACGTGTAACGTCCTGGTCCAGCGCTACGCGACAAGGCCAAGCACGTGGTGCGTAATACAGGCCCAGGAGAAAGAGAGAGAGAAAGAGAGAGGGAGAGAGATAGAGAGGTGAGAGGAGAGTGAGAGCGCACGTACCGGAATGCTAGCGTAGCGCAGCTACCTTGGATTGTGATGGCGTATTTATCCATGCGCTGTTGGGTTGGTTCCTCGCCGAACGGCTTCACCTGTACATTTACAACACCAACGTGTGTTGTTGACACCAACGCTGCAGTCACAAATGACGCCTCAGCACCGGAGTCCAGGAACACGCGAACCTTCGCCTTTCGAGTTCTTCCCTCAACTCATGCCACTCCGGTCATCAGCCGCACACTTGATGAGTGTAGACAGCACGATCCAACCTTCTTCTCTGTTACTATCTCAGTCGGTTTCTCCCGGCTGTAACCTGCTCCGTCCAACACATCATGTATTAGCAGATGGTGCTTCCCCTGGCATTTTGTGCACCTCGAGCCTGACCGATAGTCCCTTGCCACATGGCCATACTTGAGGCAGTTCCAGCACAGTCTCTCTCGCTGCAGAAAAACCTTTCTCCCTTCCTGTGGCAGCGATTTTAGCTGCTTCTCTGCATTTGCGACTAGGTGAGAAAGTACTCATTATGTACAGTAACATTGAGTGCCGAAGAACAACTCTCCTTTGACTAGCTTGAACTTTCACCTGACGACGGCAAAAAGCAAAAAATAACATTCAATGTTTTGCCGAGAGCTGGTAACAAGCTCATCAGCTCAAACGCCTTCCTCTTGAAGAACAAAAAGATTACAATTTTTGTAATGAAACAGGCTGAACACTAAACTCAGGAATAACGGGGTTTCATGTAAAGTTACATTGTACAGTTCACATCTCAGGAGCGTAGCACCGCCGTTGGCGGTGGTCCGGCCACGGGGTCCGGGGGAATGTCCCCGCGGAATTTTTTGGAAATTAGGGTGCAAAATCCTGCATTCTGGGCACTTTTGGCATTGTTTTACTATGGTGATCGTGGTCGGGCGAAAAAGTGGTCCGGCCAAAGCCGGACCGGCCGGAGCGGCTGCTACGCCCCTGCATCTACTCTCGGACAATAGCGGAATACAATAAGAACAAGAAGCTGAAATCTGGAAAACAAGAACATTGCTGGTCTGAAGCCGGGACCCCATCCTAGGTACCTGAATGCTATTGCATGGTTTTAATTGGCATGAGTAGACTGTAAACATACTCTAAACACACCCTGATAGATGCAGGACTAGATGAAAAAACACAGCTGGATCTTGAGTACTGATGTGATATGATGCTCATGTCTTATCACGTGACTATGTATATATTATAACAAAGGACCGAGTGAATATCGAGAAATATAGACCAGTATAAAAACCCAGACGAAGCCGAGGTTTTTATAACTGGTCGATATTTCTCGATATACACGAGGTCCCTTGTTATAATATATTTATACCTCTCCATGCGCAAGCTCAAGAGCAAAAATGAGTGAATATACCTTTCTTTCCCTAAAAAGGAGTGAATATAGCTTTAGAGAAAGAAAGCTATATACACTCCTTCTTAGAGAAAGAAAGCTCCTCAGTGCGTGCTTTTTTCTGATGGTTTTCCTCAGTGGTGTATATACCTCCTCAGTGGTGTATATACCTCCTTAAAGGTGTATATTGAACAGTGTATATGGAAATTTATAAACTTCATGGTAGATCTGGTATATGAGTGTGGGTGTATATGGAGTGAGGTATAAAATCGGTTGTGGCAACAAACGCGATTAGGCCGGCTGCAGGACGCCGTAATGTCGCACTCGCCCCAGCACCATTCAAACAATTCCCTTTGGCAGTTCACGGCACGAACTTCAACAAAGCCCCGTGAATGCGTACCAGGGGAAGGCTAGACAGCATGTCTCTAGACATCAATAGGCATCGTATGAAAAGCCAGTCAATAGCACTAAAGAGCGAAAGCCTTTGTCACGGTTCGGTTTCACTCGCGCACCGGGCCCGAGCTGGCAGCACAAACAAACGCCGTACTCACACGAGCGTTGGGCGAACGGATGGCCACAGCCATCAAAAACAGGAACAAACCCATCCACGGCTCTTTCTCTTGCTAGCTGTGCTACTGCGTGCATCCAACTGTTTTGCAATTTCTCCCTCCCACCCACGCCTCCTGGTATTTATTATCGCTCTACACTATCCTACGTCTCACAATGAGTGCCACTCAGCATGATGGTACTCCAAGCTACATTGTATTTGATCTGTCCTAGCTCACTATTCTGGACAAAATATTAATTCAATTGCAATGAAGCGCCGGGGGCCGGCGGGGGCATTCGGCGGCTTGGTCTGATTCCTAGCTTGTTGGTAACCGGCTTGAGATTTCCAAGGTTGCTATGACAACGTGCAGTCATGCGCAGGGCCACCCAACATGCATTTGGGGGCCCAGGAAAGACAGAAACGCGTTGCTAGGCAACAGCAAAAGCGCTCGGCGAGTATCACGCTACTCATGCAGCACGCACGTTGGCTTAGGGTATCACGCTACCCTTGCGCTGCGGGGTACCACATAATTGCCCCTCGCTGGAATCAGACCCGCGCCCCGGATACCTTGCGCTGGCCTCCTGACGGCCAAACTCAACCAACTACTTGTGCGCTGTGACTGGGGTTGTGCATGTATTAGCCACATAATGTGGCCCAGGTCGGCAGACTTTCAATTAGCCAAGCGAGCTACTCAGGCCAGGGTGCATGATCACTATTCGCAGCACTTATCGTCCACGCAGCAGTCGGGTAAATATATATTAGGGGTGAAAGGAACGAACGAAAGTTCGAATATTCGTTCGAAAAATTTGAAAACGAACGAACGAACTCGCAAGATTGATAAACGAACACAGCAAGCAAGCATAAAGATCGCTTGTGACTAGATCACGAAGGAGCCGCGGAGGTTGGGAGATCGCGAGCTTGCACGCTGATCGACTGAGTTTGCCTTGATGATCACTTGAAGCAAGTTGAAGGAGTTGAGTGTCGCGTCGGGACAAAGTTTCTTGAAATATTTCTGTGTGTCCGTTTGAGTTAGATTTGTACTCGTAGTGAAAGGATTTGAGTCGCTTGTGACATCTGTTCCCGAAAGCAAACGTTCACTCGTTGCAATCATGTCAAAACATTCGAGCCTTTCATCGCGATCCGGAGTTGGAGCGGAATTTGATAGTGGTTGGGAAAGACGAAGTCCTTTTCTCAATTTCAACAAGGTTCTATCACACAGCAGAGCGACGACGAGCAATCTTCGTACCCACCTCAAGAAGTGCCGTTCTCCTGCTCTGACGACCTGAGCTAGCGATGAGAAGAAAACTCTCGTCCGGACAATGGCGATGGACTTTGCAGCTAGCTGCAAAACCCTGTGATTCAGCTCAGGCGGACGCGATAAAAAAATATTTCTGTTCTGGCAGTGTATCGTACACCGTCAATACTGAACTGTGGCCAGCCAAGTACAGAGAACGCCTGTCAGCCTGTACTGGCAGACGACTGTATGGTCTTCAAAAAATTCATCCATGAAATGCATAATGGAGAATGTTCGTTCGAGTTGGTTCGTTAGTGTGACCGTTCGTTCGTATTCAAAATTCGATGTTCGTTTCACCCCTAGTATATATGATAACAAGGAACCGAGTGTATATAGAGATATATACACCAGTATGAAAACCGAGGCGAAGCCAAGGTTTTTATAACTGGTGTATATATCTCGATACACACGAGGTTCCTTTGTTATTATATATTTATACCTCTCCATATTCACCGTGTGTGACCTCCTAATGGCTTGTTCCTCGCTGACAACTACTGCTAATTTCCCTTAGCGGTGTATATGGAGATATATACCCCACTAAGGGAGAGCATGCCTAAGACTGTAAGTGTATATGGAGTGAGGTATAATACGTCGTATATTTTGCCTGTGTATTACGTCACAACCAGCATGCGCCATTTTGGACTAGTCGCCAGAAGTGCATGCTTTGCTTGACCTGGTTGTCTGTTCTTACCTGTCTTCTTCACACTTGTATCTAATTGTATTCTTCCAAACCTCAACCTGTGTCCTTGAGTGTTTGTGCATGACTGTGGAGGTAGACATCACAAGTACGAGGTCATTTGCTATTTTTGGACACTCAAATTAAATAGCACCCCATTATGTTGGTTTGTAAGATAAATTAAATTTCTTTCTTGATTTTCTACTGGCACATTTATGCTTTACCACCACCACACACACCTGAAGGCATAGAGTTGAAGCATGCGGCCACAACTTGACCTGATTGAAGGTGTCTTTTTCTACTGCTTTTTCAATGCGAGCAATTATTGGACAACTAAATTAAATAGCATCTAGCAGCAGTCTGCAATGGTGTGAACAAGTAAAACTTGCACAGGACATTAAAATGGGGTAAGGCTATGCCTATGAGACCGGCTGATATGAGTTCTAATGACAGGCCGTTCATAGCAAGCTTTTCAAGGCTTTTCAATATGACACACAATTTAAAGGGTCACTCAAGGGTTTTCATGGACGACAAATACAAGAACAGAGGGGAGCACTCCAGTGTGGCCCATCTCCTTCTCACATTTCGCAAAGAGTGGAGGGCTAGCGCCGTAACTAGCCGCTGCGTCCTTCTTGGTTAGGAAGTGTTCACTGGTGCCAGGTGAGTGGAACGCTCGCACTGCTAAAAGAGATTTCTCCTGACCAGAACCCCTCCACAAACGCACCGGTTGAGAAGGCGAGGAGACTCTTCCAGGCGGATTCGAGCTGGAAGACGTAGTCCCTGGAGTTGATGGAAGGGATACAACATCCCCCATGTCGACATTCTCTCCGTTATGCGACGTAGAGTCAACGGAATCCTCAATCATTTATTATTTAATCGAAATTTTCGAAATTACTCATTATATTACCTAAGAATAATAAAGAAAACGCCCAGAAAGAAACGGCCTTCACCGCTAAAAATTGGCACAAAGAAACTTGAAGACCACACGAAGACACTCTTGTCAAAGATTTGTCCACCAAGGAAAGGACAACGACTCGGGAGGACTCTACTTCCATATTTAACTGATTTGTCCAAAAATTGCGAATCACCTCGTACCTAGCCGGAAAAAATAAAGGCGCTCCGTAACGCATGACATTGGCAGGCCTCTATCAGCTAAATGTAAAGTGCTGCCAACAAAATTGGTCTCTGGAAATTGGCGCAATGAGCATAACTTTGGAGTTTCCACATCCCGAACAATTTGACTGTGCCGACACCTCTGTACTCATTACAAATTGCTGACTGACCTTGACATTGAGTTCCATTTCCGTGGTAACCTGACTTGCACAGACACATGAATCCGCCATCATTATCAATGCAGCTAGCATCCTCATGGCATGGGCTAGCCGGCAAACATTCATCAATGTCTGAACAACAGTAGGTAAGCAGAATGCAAGGGGTTACTAACTGATTACATTCTGCATTGAAACCACGGCCAGCGTCATATAGGCACAACAAAAACAATTCAAATTCATCAGACAGCTCAAAAAGCCTCAATCTCAATTGCTGTGAAAAATAATTGATCTTTTCTCGAGATTATAAACACTTGTGTCGCTGTCGATTGATTCTACAAACTCTGCTATAATCTATACTTGTCCAAATTATGAAACCAGCAGAACATGTGCACAGATAAATCATGCAAACTGCTGCTGCACAGATCATTTCAGCGGACAGTGGACCCTCTGGGGTGTTATGGCAGAAGCAGCAGAGAATGCGGCTAAGAACGAACCAACACAAAAAGGAACTCTGACCAGCTTTCAATACCACACAAGAAAACAGGAAATGGTTTGGTTTGCAAACACTGCACACCATCATCAAGTGGAAATATCCACTGACTTTACTATTGGTACTAACTGTGGCAGTTTCCAGCTTGTCCATTGCCAGTGTACCCAACCATACACTTGCAGCTGAACGTTCCAATCACATCACTACACAACGCATTTTGATCGCATGTATGCAAAGTGGTATTTGCACACTCATTGACGTTCTGGCACATGGGCGGTGTGCTGCTGACATCCCCATTGGCTAAACACTGTGTGGTGGCATGGCCGACAAGCCGATGGCCGGGATTGCAGGCAAATGTTCCCAGTGTGCTATAGATAAAGCTTGATACACCAGCCGGTAGAGAGAAACTGCCAAATGTAGGCGCTAATGGAGTAGCGCATGTAACAACTGCAATTGAAAAATCAGACAAGACACAAACAAAATAACAGTCATTACTGGCACACGTGATCACAATGGCACAGCAATTATCGCTGTTGGCAGCAACTAGAGATGAACGAATACTCCAACGTTCGAAAGGGTTAGCCCAGGGAAATCACTTGGAAACGAGTTATGAAGCAAATGTACACAACTGTAACAAGATAATAACATAACTTTAATTCTCGTAGCTATGCAGAAGCCGCAATGCGGCAAAAGAACAAACACAAAAAGGAACTCTGACCAGCTTTCAATACCACACAAGAAAACAGGAAATGGTTTGGTTTGCAAACATAGCACACCATCATGTAGTTTTATCTTGTATGTGTGTGTGTACCCATTGTGCATGCTTGTTTCTCTTATTTGTACTCTTCTCTTGTAGACCATCCATTACAGTATCCCTTTCATGATTCATCCCATATCTAGATGTCTCATGCACCGCAGCGTACCCTCAAGTACTCCACTAGATCCAGATATGGAGTACCCGCGACTGCCTTGCTGTATTATGTTTTCTTTCACTACGATTTGTGTTCTTGCACTGAAAATGAAAAGGGTTCTTTGCCTCACAACGAGACCGTGTTGAGTTGGTATTTTGGTGTGCTCTCGACACGTACTAAAGACGTCGGGAGAACATTACATGGTGGCAGCGCTGGGATTTCCTCTTTGACAGGATGGCGACAGGCGTTTCAAACAACCCTTTTTCCACTCCCACAACTACCTCCATCACGGTTTCCTCAGGTCCGAGTAATACCACGACTACTAGTAATGCTGGCTCGTCAGGAGCAGTCACTGTCTCGAGAGTTGGTCAAGCTGCACCCTCTGTCGTTTCCTCCGCGGCTGGGCTATCCCTCCCCACGGTATCATCTCTGGGTCCCGTGGCACCCCAGGTTCCGTCGATGATCCACCTTACCCAGGTAGCTCCTCCAGCCCGATTCGACTTCAAGTCCGCTGATGTGTGGGAGAAGTGGAGCAAGCGATTTACGAGATACAGGCTCGCCTCGGGTCTTCATATGCAGGCACAGTCCGTGCAAGTAAACTCTTTGTTATATTCGATGGGCGACGACGCTGACGACCTCCCACTGAGTTTCCATTTATCAGACCAGGATGCGGACAACTACGACATTGTATTCCCGAAATTGGCAGACCATTATGGCAGGAAACGCAATCTGGTGTACGAGCGTGCGAAATTCCACCAGAGGTCCCAACAGCCCGGAGAGTCGATTGATGGCTACATAACTGATTTGTTTCGTTTGGCAGAACGTTGCAACTTCAAGCAGCTCCACGACGAGATGATCCGTGATCGCCTTGTTGCAGGAGTTGCAGACACTGCCCTGTCCCAGAAACTGCAACTGGACCCATCTCTTACACTGGACAAAGCTCTGGCACAAGCTCGCCAGAAAGAGACTGTTCGAACACAACAGTCCACTGTCCGTCACAGTTCATCAGCTGGTGCAACTCTTCACCAAGTCCACGCTTTTGAACAGCAGCATCACTCTGCATGCGAGTCGTGTACTTGTGCACTGGAGCTGAATGCACTTAGCATGCGACCACAATCTCACCAAGGTGTGAAACATCCCGCCCAGTACAACCGCGATTCAACTGGTCATGCTTCACAGCCCCGCAGTACACACAGTTACAGTGGTCATCCTCGCTCAAGTCAGTCTGCACCCAGGCACAGCTCTGGCGTTGATCAATCTAGTACCTGTCACTGGTGTGGTAAGGAACGCCATGCACGCACTCAATGCCCAGCTCGTCAGGCCAAGTGTTCATTTTGCAGCAAGATTGGACACTTTGCTGTTGTTTGTATGCAGAATGCACACTAGTAGTAGCTCTCAGTCTGCCTCCAACACCAGTCACATGCATAGTCTGCAGTCCTCTGCTGCTAGCTCTGGTCCATTACAGTCTGCTGACCAGTGGCACTATCCTCCAGCCTACCTAGGTGCATTGTCCGCTGATACTGGGTGGTCTATGCCCATGCTGCTGCAGTCAGTGCCAGTTACAATGAAGGTCGACACTTGTGCAGACGTAACTGCCATCCCAGCCAGCTTATATGACGACATATCTGCTCACCATCAGCTCAACCTCCAGGAATCCGACCGTACGCTGAAATGTCCAGACAACGCAACTCTAGCTGTTTCAGGCCGCGTCACACTCAGTATCTGCCGTGCTGCATTTTCCGACTTTGCAGTAGACACGACAGTGTACGTTGTACCGCACCTGAAAACACCTCTGCTCGGCCGGCCAGCCATCGAAGCCCTACATATCTTCAGTCCGCCAGCAGATTTGCTCAGCGCAACTACCGGTACTTTTGAGCAGTCCTCCGTCAAATCGCAGTACCCTGAGCTCTTTGCGGGAGTTGGTTCGTTTGGCAGCGAGCACGCGATTCGGCTGGTCGATAATGCACAGCCTTACTCTCTGCCTACACCACGCCGTATCTCTCTACCGATGGAAGCCAAAGATATCGAAGAACTGCAGGCCCTCGAACAGAGTGGTGTCATTCGCAAGGTAACTGAGCCAACCGATTGGTGTGCCGGTATGGTAGTGGTTCCTAAACCCAACCCTAACGTGCGCATCGGTGGCGACTTTACCCGACTCAACCAGGCTATCCGACGGGAACGTCACATCATGCCAACAACCGATCACCTGCTTGCTCGCCTCGGCACAGTCAAGGTCTTCTCGAAGCTGGACGCGAACAAGGGCTTTCACCAGATCCCCTTCTCGCTGGAATCTCAACTGCTAACAACATTCATTACGCCCATCGGTCGTTTCTGCTTTCGACGACTCCCGTTTGGCATCTCCTCTGCACCTGAGTACTTCCAGAAGCAGATGTCTGACCTGCTGAGCGACCTGCCAGGCACAATGTGCATGATTGACGACGTTCTAACCTTCGGTGACTACGAACACGAGGAGGAGAAGAATCTGCATGCAGTCCTGCAAACGTCTCTCATCAGCCGGAATCACACTCAACCCAGACAAGTGTGCTTTCCACCAACGTTCAGTCAAGTTCCTGGGACACATCCTCGACGACAACGGCATCCACCCTGATCCCCAGAAAGTGCGCGGCGTTCAGGAGCTGAAACCCTGCACGGATGTCCCAGCAGTACGTCGTTTCCTCGGCATGGCGAATCAGCTGGGAAAGTTCGTACCTGATCTGGCAACGATGTCTCAGCCACTGCGTGCTCTCCTGGTCAAAGGCCAGGAATGGTCCTGGACCGAGGAGCACCAAGCAGCATTCGACGCGATCAAGTCAGCCCTCAGTTCGCATCCAGTACTGGCGATGTACTCGACTACCCTGGATACGATCATATCTGCCGACGCCTCATCATTCGGCGTGGGAGCAGTCCTCCTCCAGGTGCAGTCTGACGGCTCCATTCGTCCAGTTGCATATCAGTCCCGTTCTCTGACACCAGCTGAGACCCGCTATTCTCAAATCGAGAAAGAGGCTCTTGCTTCTACTTGGGCATGCGATCGTTTCGAACATTTCGTACTTGGCAAGCCGTTTACGATCCAGACCGACCACAAGCCGCTCATCCCGCTTCTAGGCAGCCGTGCTCTAGACGACCTACCGCCTAGAATTGTCCGTTTCCGTCTGAGGCTCCTTCGTTTCAATTTCCGCATTGTTCACGTGCCAGGCAAGGATCTCGCCATTGCTGACGCTCTCTCCAGAGCACCTGTTTCATCAGAACAAGTCGACAGCCAAGATGTTGATCTCCTCGCAGCTGAGACAGCAGCGCTCGTCGACTACGCCGTTGATTGTCTGCCTGCAACAACTAAACGCCTCAATGACATCGCCGAGTGGCAAGAATCTGATCAAGTGTGTGAGTCGCTTGCTCGCTACTGCGCTGACGGCTGGCCACACTCATCCGACGCTCCTTCTGATGTTCGACCATACGTAGAACACCGGGCACACATCACACTTACCGATGACGGTCTGCTGCTCTACAACGACAGGTTGATCATTCCCGCATCTCATCGCGACGACATTCTGTCACGGCTCCACACTGGACACCAGGGCATAGCCAAGTGACGCCGTCTTGCCCGCAACTCTGTCTGGTGGCCCTCCATCAATTCGGATATTCAGCTGTATGTTGCAAATTGCTCGACGTGCGCCCACATGCACACTCTACCAGCTGAACCGCTCATCCCAACAACACTCCCTGATCTACCATGGCAACGTCTAGCTGCTGACCTGTTCCACTTTGGTTCGGGTGACTTTCTCCTACTAGTAGACTACTACTCTCGCTACATCGAAGTCGTCCAGCTGACGTCAACATCATCCAAGGCTGTAATTACGCACCTGCAAAGTATCTTTGCCCGTCACGGTATTCCCGAGACATTGATGTCGGACAACTGTCCACAGTTTGCGTCGGAGGAGTTCCGTCGATTTGCCGAGGAGTTCTCATTCCTGCACGTAACCAGTTCTCCGCTATATCCGCAGGCAAATGGTCTCGCCGAAAGATCCGTTAAAACCGTCAAGCATCTATTCACTGCCTCTCCAGATTGGTACAGTGCGTTGCTCACGTATCGCAATACTCCTCTGGAATCCGGTTACAGTCCTGCACAGCTCCTTACAGTCCTGCACAGCTCCGTTCACGTGTCCCCGTGTCTAGCTCGCAACTGCAACCTCAGTTGATTTCGACATCTGACTTTGCCGCCGCCGATGCAGCTCTCAAAGCCCGGGAAACAAGCAACTACAACGATCGGCACCGTACTCGTTCTCTGCCGCCTCTACAAGCTGAGCAACCAGTCTATCTAACGGATCGCCATGAGACTGGTACAGTACTCCGTCAACCCGCCATTCGCTCATATGTTGTGTCTACACCCTCGGGTGAATATCGTCGCAACCGTCGACACATTGTTGCTTTGCCGTCCGCACCTCCGGTTGCGCAGGTTCCGAAAGCAGCTTCAGCACCAGATACAACACCACCGCGTCCACAACAACCTACGACAACAAGTACCACATCGTCTACAAACTCTTCTACACACTCAGCCGTTCCTACATCCAGTACAACATCAGCAGGCACAACCATTACTCGTAGTGGTCGTACAGTGATGCCTCCTGATCGTTATGGTTTCTCTGACTGAACTCTTGCTCTGATCTACCACTGAACTCGCATCACCATTACCTCTTTCATCTCTTGCTCTGTTGCTCTACTCTTCTCTACGCTTTTCTCATGCGTATGCGTGTATGTGTGTATGTGTGTGTTCTTCTTCTTTTGCGGAAGGGAGGGATAGGATTATACATAAATGTTTTGCATTATTTGGTCTTCTCGTCTTGTCTTTCTCTTTCCAACTTTCACTGCTATGCTCTTTCTCCTTTTTGAAGAAGGGGAGATGTAGTGTTATCTTGTATGTGTGTGTGTACCCATTGTGCATGCTTGTTTCTCTTATTTGTACTCTTCTCTTGTAGACTATCAATTACAGTATCCCTTTCATGATTCATCCCATATCTAGATGTCTCATGCACGGTAGCGTACCCTCAAGTACTCTACTAGATCCAGACATGGAGTACCCGCGACTGCCTTGCTGTATTATGTTTTCTTTCACTACGATTTGTGTTCTTGCACTGATAATGAAAAGGGTTCTTTGCCTCACAACGAGACCGTGTTGAGTTGGTATTTTGGTGTGCTCTCGATACGTACTAAGGACGTCGGGAGAACATTACACATCATCAAGTGGAAATATCCACGGACTTTACTATTGGTACTAAGTTTGTCCATCGCCAATGTATCCAACCACATCCGAGTCGCCATGCCCTGTGCCCACGACCACTTACTGAATCGGAGCCACCATTCATTATCAGATTCTCGACTACAGGTGGTGGGTGACACTCGCACTTCTACACTGGACTCATCAGTACCAGCGGTTGGGGATGCGGTGGGCCAGTCATTGGGCTCCGTGATCTAGGTTGGCCCGCCCAACAAGAACGGACTACGGATCTGCTGTGCATTACTCCCACGTGACGGAAAATCTGCCGGGTTGTGAAGGCCCGGGCAATGGTTCCACACAATGCCGACCTTCTTCGATATCTCTTGGTCTTGACAGACGTGGTTCACCACAAATGTTTTCCATTTGTACGATGGATTACCGATCCAATGAACGGTAGTGAGACTGTCAGTCCAGCCATAGACTTGCATGAAGGTCACACGCAGCTGCTTCACCACAAACTCAGCATAGCAAGACGCTAGACATACTGCATGCAACTCAAGGCGGGCTAACGTGGGCGGAGACACCGCTGCCACTTTGGCCTTGTCAAATACCAAGTGTGACTCTCCATTGATGACTGCATACAAAGAGCATCGAAACGCTTTCTCACTGGCGTCCGCGAAGGCATGAAGCGCAATAGGCGTGTCAAGATTTCAGCAAAACCAACTTGGCATGTCAAAGCCTACCACTTCAGCCAAGTCTCCCCGCCATCTGATTTAGCCACGCACACTAGTAGCAAGTATTACCTTCACTGGGGGCAGGGCTACTGTAAACCGGGAAACTTTTGCGGCGTGCAACTTTAGCGTTTTGAAAAAACGCCCCTGTTAACGACGGGAAATTTTAGCGATTTGGTCTATTCAGGTGGTTCTTTTTTTTACGGTGCGCGACGATTCCCTTCGCGCCAGCGATGATGATACTTGTGCTGACGCAGCCACCAGCTTGTCGCGAAGCCTTTACGTATTCAGCGACTTCACCGTCCAGGTCGCCAAGCAGCAGTGAGTGACCCCCAGCTGCATGAGGGAGAGTCGTCACCAAGTCGGGACTCTTCAAGTCTTTCAAGCGTCCCAGGTAGAGGCGCTTGCAATTCCGGATGATGCTTTCGTTCACGGAATGCTCCAGTTCCTTTGTGAACTTACTCACGGCCGATTTGTTACCATGCTCGGCGGCGTGGCGCCCCATACGAGCTCGGACTTCGTCAGAGTAATGGTGATAACTGCCTAGTTTTCGCTTCTTATCGGTCGAAGCGAGCTCCTCCATATCAGCAGTGTTGGCTTCCTCTGTTGCGCTGCTTTTCTCCGCCGGCGGTAAGTAAGCAGGCACAGGCGCATTGGTTGACCCAGATGCTTTCTTCTGAGAGCTGATCCACTGAAAAAGCGACATGACTCTTGACAATTTACAACAGTAAAAGCATAAACGAACAACTCCAGTTTCGGCAAAGAACTTGAAAGAAGTGACAAAGTTACGAAATACTATCCGTGATAATTTCAGATTCAACCGGCAAACAACAACAGTCATGTCATTTGACGGATCTGAACGAACAGCTAGTTCCGCGCGCACCTTTCGCGAAACAGCTCAGCACAGTCATGTACATGATAGTACAGTCACATAGACAAGGCATGCACACAGCTACATACAGTCTTGTACACTGACTGTAGTACTGACCAGCGTAGTACGCGATGCACTACTTCCGTTCAAATTCTTCAGTTCGCGGCGATTCCAATTCGCGTTTTGCCGGTGATCGCGAAACTCGCGAAAATTATCCGCTCGTAAAAGTTTTACGGTTTACAGTAAGTGCAGTTGGATCCCAGGACGGATACCCTGATGACTCGGAACAACTGCTGAACCGTGATCTACGAGACCTGGCATTCTTGTGTCACAAAGCACGTGATTTCATTATTCCTCTTGCAGTAAAATCCAAAAACTACACGCAAAAATTCAGTCACTTTTGCATCAACTGTTGCACCGAAAAATGTTGGTGGCGCAAGGAGAACCTTATCGTTTGGAGTGACAAGTGATCACCGCTGCTTTTTCTTGTCAGAGTCAACAATACACTTTGTTCTGCAGCGTTAGGAGTGGTGTTGGAGTAGAAATTGCTGACTAGACGTCGCGGATGGGCGAACTTTCCTGCGCAGGTATGAGTTGGGACATATTTCAGAATGGTCGAGTGGAAAAATTCAAAATTGTTTATTTCACGAAAACCCAAAAAGGATGATGGGGGACATGTCCTCAGTGCTAGACTGAGAGGTGTTCTACTATCTGCCGGTGTATAGTGTTTGCTAATTGAGGACGTAGATCGCTGTTTTATCGGCGCTTGTAATTTGGCTTTTTTCAAGACGGTCATTTGTGGCGTCAAGGGATGATTGCCCTCGTCTTCTGGGATGCTGGCGTGGATAAGTGGTGCTGCCCCAAGAACTCTTCTAAGGTGCGGTAATGTTGGCTTGATGTAGTTTTGTTCGTAGCTTGTTCTTGTACGCTGTGCCGTGGCTCGTTTGTAGACCCATAAATCTTGCCAATATTGGGCCAATATTGAGGGGAACCACTCTGTGACCATGTTGTCTTTGCACAAAAAGAACTCGAGTTCTTGTTAGCTCAACACCGCAAGCACTTGCTGGACAATGTTGCCCGGTTTTGACTGGAGAACAAGGCAGCATTCATTAAATGTCTTGGCCAATGCTAAAGGCTGATACGCAAAACTGTTGCTGCTTTCAGCGACACTGTAGATAATGCATTATACAAGGCATATTCTATGTTGGACAATGGCATAGAAATCATGGTCTCTATGTACTTTCAAATGCGATATCCAACTTTATCTTCCACAGAGGTGTTCTCTAGACCCCTGTGATTGATTTTCAAGAAAGAAAAAATTTCCAAAAATTAGCCCTTAGACATGGTATTGCATGCACTGGCCCATTTGATCTTTTCTCGGGATTATGAACACCCGTGTCGCTGTCGATTGATTCTACAAACTCTGGTATAATCTATACTTGTCCAAATTCTGAAACCAGCAGAACATGTGTACCGATACATCATGCAAACTGCTGCTGCACAGACCATTTCAGCGGACAGTGGGCACTCTGGGGTGTTATGGCAGAAGCAGCAGAAAATGCGGCAAAGAACTAACAAACACAAAAAGGAGCTCTGACCAGCTTTCAATACCACACAAGAAAACAGGAAATGGTTTGGTTTGCATGCATTGCACACCATCATCAAGTGGAAATATCCACTGACTTTACTATTGGTACTAACTGTGGCAGTTTCCAGCTTGTCCATTGCCAGTGTACCCAACCATACACTTGCAGCTGAACGTTCCAATCACATCACTACACAACGCATTTTGATCGCATGTATGCAAAGTGGTATTTGCACACTCATTGACGTTCTGGCACATGGGCGGTGTGCTGCTGACATCCCCATTGGCTAAACACTGTGTGGTGGCATGGCCGACAAGCCGATGGCCGGGATTGCAGGCAAATGTTCCCAGTGTGCTATAGATAAAGCTTGATACACCAGCCGGTAGAGAGAAACTGCCAAATGTAGGCGCTAATGGAGTAGCGCATGTAACAACTGCAATTGAAAAATCAGACAAGACACAAACAAAATAACAGTCATTACTGGCACACGTGATCACAATGGCACAGCAATTATCGCTGTTGGCAGCAACTAGAGATGAACGAATACTCCAACGTTCGAAAGGGTTAGCCCAGGGAAATCACTTGGAAACGAGTTATGAAGCAAATGTACACAACTGTAACAAGATAATAACATAACTTTAATTCTCGTAGCTATGGCGAAGCCGCAATGCGGCAAAAGAACAAACACAAAAAGGAACTCTGACCAGCTTTCAATACCACACAAGAAAACAGGAAATGGTTTGGTTTCCAAACACAGCACACCATCATCAAGTGGAAATATCCACCGACATTACTATTGGTACTAACTGCGGCAGTTTCCAGCTTGGCCATCGCCAATGTATCCAACCACATCCGAGTCGCCATGCCCTGTGCCCACGACCACTTACTGAATCGGAGCCACCATTCATTATCAGATTCTCGACTACAGGTGGTGGGTGACACTCGCACTTCTACACTGGACTCATCAGTACCAGCGGTTGGGGATGCGGTGGGCCAGTCATTGGGCTCCGCGATCCAGGTTGGCCCGCCCAACAAGAACGGACTATGGATCTGCTGTGCATTACTCCTACGTGACGGAAAATCTGCTGGGTTGTGAAGGCCCGGGCAATGGTTCCACACAATGCCGACCTTCTTCGATATCTCTTGGTCTTGACAGACGTGGTTCACCACAAATGTTTTCCATTTGTACGATGGATTACCGATCCAATGAACGGTAGTGAGACTGTCAGTTCAGCCATAGACTTGCGT